AGAAAAAACCAAGTCCTCCTATTAAAACACCCCACCATCTAAAGGCATGAATAAAGCACCTTTTATATGACGTGAAGCAAGGGCAGATGTGGGCTTGTTGACCTCAGGTATCTCTGTATGGATCAAATAGTCAAAACTTTCTAACCGCTTCTATAGGAGCACCATTTCACTCCATCAGAAGACAGTAGAAAATAATAAAGAACTGACAGTATTGCAACATGCAAGTGAGAACCAACCTATGTTCATGGAAGACCCATACACAGGGATGCACAACTTGAGAAATTGTTATGCAGATAGCAGCCCAGTTACCTCCCGAATGGTAATTTCAATAAGGAACAACTGAATCCATGGTTTAAATCAGGCTGTTTTCAGGCTGAAACTGATTCATACATGCAATAGAACATCAAGTTCTTTGCACTAGATACCTCCAGAAAAATAATTATGAAACCAGGTGTTAGTAGTATATGTATGACCTGTCATAAATCTAAAGAAACGATTCATCATATCATAGCTGGATAACCTACACTAGCATCAATGAATTAGATGTGCTACCATAACCAAGTTGCAAATATCATTTTTCAGGACTTGGAGAAATATCATGGATTAGTCACATCTTTCCCTCCATATTATAAGTTCAAGCTAACTCCAGTTTTAAAGAATGAATACTATACTGGGACAAGCAAGTTATCGCAGATAAAACAACTGATATTAACAAGCTGGATATTATGTTTCTGGATAAGCAGCAAAGAAAAATATACCTTACAGAGGTTGGAGTTCCATCAACCTCAAAAGCACAGAAAGTCCAGAAAGTCCAAAAATGGCAAAGTACCAACATTAAGGTAAGAAATTAAAAGAATATGGAAACAAGATTAGGTCATTCTCCTCTCCATACTAATTTCAGAAATTGGAATCATCCCAAAATCTTCGGTTACCAATTTAAAGCAATTGCCAATAGCTGCTACTTTGCTTCCTAAAATGCAAAAATCAGTGATTTTGCACACATTTCATCCCACTTTCAGAGTTTTAGGACTTGACTTGTAATGTTCAGGCTTGACCCTTTGATCAGCCCACATGCACCAGAAATGCTGAAAGAGAAGACTAGAAATAGTATATAAACCACTGAAGAAAAACTTCTCACATTGCCCAAGCAGCAACAATGAGAATGTTAATTACTTACATGAGAGCTTATATGTATTCATGCTTTTGCTTCAATGAATGAGGAATGTTCTGTCACAACTGCACTCAGGAACTGGATGTCCCTCTTCGAGATCACAAGACAGTGTCAAGGGTTTGAAGGAAAACTTTCACATGCTATAAAAATGGAAGCAAATGTGCCCCACAAAAGCCTTTGTGTTATTAATAGCAGAACAGTTTGTCAGCAAGCATTAAAGAGAACCAATTACAATTAATCCACAAGATCTGCACATATTTAATGAATATAAGCAACTACCTCTTGAACAAGTCTAGTGCTGCAGTGAAAATGTGCCCCTGCTTCTCTGATCCCATTTGCAGACTATAGGAATGGGGTGTTGTTTCAGGGTGTGTGTGTTTTTCCAGAAGAAGAAGACATTCTACAAATGTTCAGACACGCAGTGGTGGCTTTTCTTCTCCTTTTTGTCACATTAGCTCCTGGCAGTTACAGTTATGGCTAACTCAAAATGTTTCACAGCCTGAGGCTGAGTGGCAAATGGTACCCCTCTCCCCAGTTAACACCCTGTAGTATCTAAAGCCAAGTCAAGTTCTTTTGGCAGAAGAAGCAGAAAATCCCTCAAGAGCTCCCCTAGATCTCAAACAGTAAACATGCAGTGCTTCATTAAACAACTAAGATACAAGTTCCCAACCTGGGGGTCATGACTCCCAAGGTCACAAAGTGGGTTTTTTGAGGGGGGTGTCACCATAGTTATTTTAAGTTGTAATTATTTTTATATATATACCCCATTAAAGATGCCTTTTCATGCAGGTGTGCTGGTGAGGGACACAGGTTACTTGGCTATTGTTAAACGGAGTTGTGACTTGAAAAGGGTTGGAAAACACTGAACTAAGAATTTACTGCCTTTCATGACTGCACACATACTTAGCAGCCAACTAAACTGATCAACAGCAAACAAACAACTGACATCAACCAGAGAAAGAGAGTGGAGAAGAACACTCAACAAAGAGGTTGAGCAGAAGGAACAATTGATTGGAAGGAACAATCAATTAGTGTTAAATAAATAATCACCTCAGCCCAGAAAAGTCCTTCCCAGTCGCAAAAATTACAGACAGCATGCAAGGTTGCAAATAAAACCCCAACAACATTGTCCTCATAAAAGCCAAATGGTGCTAACGCGAAGCAACTGACAGGATGAGACTGCCAACTAGGGCACCACATGTTCTATGCACAATCCTTGGATCACAAGCAGGGTCTGAGGTAATACATTTCAGAGATGTACACACACTCTTGTCTTGCTGTGGGGATTAGGAATATTTAGCTGTGTGTTTAGGGCAGGGGTAGGCATCAGTGCACCAGATTATATCACTTCTATTATCCAAAACTTTCCTATTCAGCACTTTAAGCAACACTGCTATCACTGGAAGACATTTGACACTGCCAACCAAAGAATGCTTCTGTTTTAAAGTTCTAGATTTAGAGCAAGTCCCAAAGGCCCTCTTTTTCCGAATGAGCAAAATAAATCCTTCCTCCTGCTCTATCTCAATTTTTGTATTTCATTAGAACAAAGAAACATTTTAAAAAAAATATTACTCTTCCTTTTACATACATGTAAAACAAAGCTCTGCCATTTTCTTGAAAGATGCTTCCCCACCCTGGACCCCCAGAATCATACTATATATGTCCTTTGGTATTTTGTTTTTTGAAGGCTCAAATGGCTCTTCCCACCTACCAGCAATGTGGAGGGGAAAGGAGTGTGGGGGAAATTTGTTTCAGGAATCACAAACAGTTACAGGGATCACCAAGTATTTACTTTCTTTCTAGTTTGTTTCCAAGATGAAGATCTCATTACATTTTGTTACTAAAGTCATATTAGTGTAGCTATTAATGTTTTAGTTCTTTTTCATTGCATATGATTTCACTGTATTCTTCTCCTCTCCTGCTCTTGATTATTCATAAGTGTTTGTGATAGTGACAGCAGAGCCAATTGGGAAAGCCATTCCTGAGATTAATCCTCCCTAACCCACCCTAGAATGCTCCAAGCATAGCTTCATTGTGGTGTAAAAGGTGCTGGTGGTGGCACACTCTTCTTTACGGTGCCCCATAATGCCACAACATCTAGGTTGCCTGGGAAAGTAAAGTGGCAGCAGCCAGGAGTCAGTGCTGAAACTAACTTGGCTGCCACCATTGTCAGAGAAGGAAGGAAGTTTTAAATACGTATAATTGAAATGGAACCTAATGAGCATACCAGAGTCCATTTTTCTCTTTTTAATGAGTGTACACTGGAAGCATCACTCAGTAAATTAGTAACCTAGGGTGCAGTTTTCAATCTGGCAAGTATGGGACACCAAAAGGAGCTGCCACATTGTGTCTTCACCCCAGGCACCTTTGTGCCAGGGCAGGGGTTCCAGAGGGCATGCTGATGGGTGGCCAGTCAAGAATAGCCAACAGCACATAGAGGGGTACTCCCAGCTTGATAGACCTGACTGTTGATGTTTTCAATTCAGTACTATGCTCCTCACTCACCTCCTTCCATCACATACTTGCCAAATCAATGCATTCCAAAACAACACACTTACCTATACCATATAAACAATACATCTAAACGTATCTGGGCAACATACCTCTCACCTTCTTTTAGCTTCCAGAACAATTTTTCTGAGATTAGAAGAGACCTATGGCATAGATTGCTGTAGGAGCAGAACTGGTAACATAATGCAAATTGCAAAGTAGAAAATGAGAATGCGAAGTATAAAAGATAGTAAATGAGAATAAACATCACACTAAATTAAGCTTTGGCTGCCCGTGCATCTGGTAATCAAGGCTTAAATAAATACCTGTTCGGACAGGAATGTAAAACAACATGGAAAGTTTACTGCCTTTGTCACCCAAGAAGTGATTTTCATATTTAGGAAAACCTCCGATAACTCATATGAGCTATTGGTATTATAACTACATTGTACAAAAGATATTGTTGGATGTGTACTTGTATTACAAATAGCAAATATATTTCTTTTTTTAAAAACCTCATGATACAAGCAAACAAACAAATAAGTGATTTACTGTACTGGGTATCAGGAAAGTCTGTGATATAGTAAGTTATCATTCCTAAAACAAAAAATTAATGCTGCACCTTTCCCTTGTTGTCTCACACCTTTTTATAATTCTTTAGTTTGGATGCATATAGATTTCATTAACAACTGACATAGAAATATCCTTAATAGAAACATCAGAGTCTACTTTAAACTTGTTCATATCCCCCCATTTTTATCTTTATCATTATTGTGGTAAGTTATGTAAGGCTGCTGGGTCTTCAGAGGTACTATCTTGCTAGTATTTATTTGTGAAAGACAAATTTTGACTGCCTGTAGAGTACAGGCCTTAAAGTTGATCAGTACAGTACTTTAGAGAGGTTTTATTCTGGATTCTAGAAAGGTGCAGTTAATTGCTTAAACTACATATTGAGAACACATTCCAAAGGCAATAAACATTAAAACTTAGAAATTCTTGATCATTCTATATTATTCCCTCTCAGAAAACACGGGCAAATACACACGGGGATAGAAAAGCTTTGCCTAATTATAGCAGAAGAGGCACCACTTTGTTGTGCTTATTAACGGAAATAACCATGCTAACGCATACATTTGACAAAAAATCCACTAAAGATATATGACAACAGAAAATTCAAGTGGAAAAAAAGACTTAGCTATTGGTGCTGATATTTCACAAAATTGCAAACATGCCCTATGTACAGTTCACACGTAGCTGCAACTGGGGCTAAAACTGTTCTTAAAACACATCATGTTAGTTTTCCTACCTCCCCCCATTAAAAAAAATGTGTAGAATTGGGTAATCATAATTCTTTTATTATACACTTACTTGATAAATTATATATCTGGTGTCATGCACAGCAATATTGCCACAGTTGATCATTACAGCATTACAACAAATAATTATTTAGAAACTTGGGTTTCCTGGTTTGTGTACAAAGTATTTTGCATTTTGACAGCTTTTATTTAAATTGTGTATTTGCTGTCTTGACTCAGCTACAAGTTCTGTAACATGCCACATTAAACTAACACCTGAAAGTTGGCACAAATGGCAACCTTTGCCTGAGAGGTACAATATTGTAAAAAGAAAATTCCAGCATTCTGTAAAAACAACTAGTAGAAAGAAATAATAATTTATATCAAAATGCTTGCACTATTAGTGGTGTTTTGCACCAAAAATAATTCTGTAAAAGCATAATCCAATTAAGAGATATTAAAGGGTTAAAAACCCATAATTCCATAAAGTTTAAGAAACATTTAACTGCAACATTGTTAAATTCTCTTCAATTAAGATGGAGGAAATTAGCAGTTTGTTATACCACCATTATAGATAAATCCTCAACTTGCACACCAAGTTATCTGTTATAACAATGCAAACAGAAGAAATGTACAAAAATTACTCTAATTTATTTTGCTGCCGATTTTAACCTTTACATTTGATTTAAAGTCTGAATCTGGAGCTTAATCACTACGTCTGCTGCACCACACTAGATTTCACACTATTCGACTTGTACCTCTTCAAATATGTGCTGAAGTTTAGAAAACAATGGGAACAACTGCCTACTGTCACCAAGAGAAACTGTTTCGACTCTGCCCATCCAGATAACAGCTGTAAACCCTACAAGGAGGCAATGGGCATGTCACATTTGCTGCAACACGCCAGAATTTTATTTAATCTGGTTTGTCCAAGACAAATCTGTGTGCCAGCTTCTCATTCTCGGATCACTCCCTACTTAACTCCTGACTGCTTGCCTGGCTGTTAGTTCATGATTTCTTTTGTGTGCCATCCAAATCTGGCAGGTATTGGCTTGTTGGCTTGTTTCTCCTGACACACGGAACAATAGTTGTGTTACAAACCATGAGTTGTTTCTCTGGCTTGTTGAGCGTTTAGCTTCTCCTGCAGCAGAAAAGACCAAATGAGCAGTGGGAGCCGGCACATAATTGATTGTGATGACTGAAAATATCCTTGGTTGCTTGCATTCTCTGGAATCCATACACAGTTTTTGTTGCAGGTAAGGGCAACTACTGGAACAGCGGCCTGCAGTGCTACATGTGTAGCAAAGTTGTTAATTGGGCTTTTAATACGCATTGGTGTTGAGCCAACAAATTAGTTCTATTTCTATTAGAAATATTTTGAATATTTGATTTGTTTTATTTTAACACTATGAAATATTAATTTATGCATTATTTATGATGAGTGCTTCTTAATTCAGTCCACCAGGGTTGCCATATTGCTAGCATTTTGAGAAGAAAACAATAGGTAAAAACATACAGTGTAAACCAACTGCTTTGATAATACTTTTTTTTTTTTTCAGGAAAAAACCACACAACTTCACAAACATGAAAAAAATTAAGACTATTACTCTTTACACTTAAGGTGTAATTGCTTTTGATTTAAAAAAAAAATCAAAACTGATTCTTCTTCCTTAACTATGCACAAAACAAGATTGGGAAAAACTCAGGTGGTTTCTTTCTAGGAAGATTCAGTGGCACACTCAAAAACTATCCTCTTCAATATGATCTTGGTACCATTTTTGAAAGGATGAATACACTAAAGATGAATTTGAAATGTGAGCACCCAGGATTCACACTGAAATAGGCATCATGATTTCAGCAAAAAGCAAATATCCTTAATTTTTTTTTCTGGATCACATTTAAAATACATTCGATTGGCATGACAATTAGATATGCACAAAGAATTTTCAAACCAAATTGATACTAATATTCTGCTACAGAAAAACAAATACAGTACAGAAAATTATAAGCAATGTATCCAGGACACATGAAGCTCATTTTGGCTATGTGCACTTTAAATAAGAAAAAGAAATTAGCACGTAGGCCACTACATATTCATATAATTAAATGCTTGTACTTAATGCCTTCCAAGAGCATTTGAAGCTTCACATTAGCTATTTACTTCAACAGCAACTTGGGTATGTGCATGAGATAATGAACTTTATATAAATATATAATGATAGACATCTATCCATAAGGTGTACTTCTAAGCACATGAGATGGTAAACCAATGTGGGGACCATATCATATTTTTTTACAGAGGAGCATTCTATCATGTGAGCCATGTATGCTGTGAACAGAATGCTTTCATTTTAAAAAAATCCCCAAATACAGAAAAATAAATACTAGGGAAGAGAGATTCTTGCATATCCCTCTCCCAGACATATTTTAATATGTAGTAACTATTTTAATATGGAGAAGTGTGCTGTCACATGAATAAGCCTCACTTGTATACTGCAGTGATATTTCTAGGCAAATATTTAACTGTTTGTAAGAACACCAAAATCTTTACCCAGTAAATGGAATCACTATGCAAACAGAACAATAATCCGTTTTGAATTAGAAATTCAGAGTTCGCTGTTTTAAAACAAAATGGCAGTAAAACCACATCTTGTTTGAGGCTTCAGATATGTGTCAAACAGTACATCCATTTTCCTTTGAATTAGTTAAGTGCAAAATAAACTAGTCTAGAGAAGCTCAACATTACATCAAACACAAACAAAATCTGAAGAAAAAATGTCAATGCACATACATACATTTCAATAAATCAATCTATCTGTACGAAAATTTCAGTAAAGGGCTCAAAAGCCAGTGCTGGGCATAAGGTTTAGATTCTGCCCTCTGACACAGCATTGATTTCTTAACTTTTGGGTGATTATAAAGATAAATACAAAAGCCATGCAACAGTATTTAGCAGGCAATCAAGTGGAAAAGCAATTTCAGTACTAAATATGAGAATTAAATTATATAAATAAAACAAGTGTCGATCCATTTAAAAGCCAAAGACGTTTATTGTTTTTTGAACTGGACTGACTGCATTCAGTCTGCTTAAGCAAATCCCAAAATTAAATAACCCACCAAGTTCATCTTAAACAAGCCACAGTGCTGAATTTCTTCTTCACGTTTCACAGATGTTTCAAGGCAAATGCGTCCTTGTAATTTCAGAGTCAGAAAGTCCATCTTCTTGCAGAGAGGGCTCATAGTCACCAGCAGTATTTGCCAAGTCAATATCTGGCTCATCATTGCTCTCTGCACTATAATCCACTTCTTCAAGAAAGCGAGGTTCATCCTCTTCCAGAACATATGTAGTGGGGCTACAGAAGGAACACCACACAGTCGGCTGTATTAAGTCCAATAGCTCATGTGAAACCATTCAATCATAATTACAAATATTTAATGCGGAACAAAACTAATAGGTTAATTCAAATATGGTCAAGATGCATGGTACTCTTAGTATGACCATTCAACTTATCACTAAGGGCTGAAATAGCGGTTACACAGGAGACTACTAAATGTTACAGACAGCAGAATATTGAATCTGGCAGTAAATGCACAGCACTGGTAGTGCCTCTGTCTTGATCCCTCCCCCCCATTTCACAAGAGGAGTCAAGTGTTATTACCTTCCAACTTGGTTTTAATTTATTTTTCGATATGCTTCTAAGTCAATTGTTCACTTCCTTGCATATGTAGTGTAATATAATTCAAATGAAAATTAATCATTACATATGTTCCTCAATATTAAGTAATAATTCTGAGTGCAGAACTTCTAATGCTTATGTTAACACCTAATAATAATGTAAACATCAGCCAGCAATATAAAATTCTTCTTTTATAATGACTAATTGTTAAATCCACAGCAGTATGTAACATGCCTCATTGCACAAGCTAATTTTTCAAACCTGTAACTCTAAAAGGCAGTAAGTAATAGAAAAGTAATCCCCACAGCAACAAAACCGAGACTAGTGCTTATAAGGAATTAAGAGACTATTAAGATTTCAAGGTACATGATGTTGTGCAATCATGTAAAAAGGAATAAGCAAATGATATTAAGATTTAATGCAGTATCATTTAATTCAATTAGAAGAATGTTATTTATTACAAAATTCTTCAATGAACCTTTAATTCCCCACATGACATAAGGAGTATAACATGATTTTTCTATGCAACTCCTCATAAAGTTAACTAAAATTGAAGTTAATGTCACCATAATTTGAGGGGAATCCAGCCGACCCTGTAAACAAGCAGTGAACAGTAACAAGAACAATATATATCACTACACCAGCAAAACAGCAGTGTTCAGAATAACCCAGGTTTCAAACTATGGGAAAAGGCAAATCTATTTATATGTATTAAGTCAAGCTCCAATCCAGCTGTGCTTATTGGAAAATTTTACCAATTCCCAAGCAATATGAATCCATTCTAATTTAGTAAATGCTGACATTAAATTTTATTCAAAATCTATCAAATGATGATAAAATTTACCTCTCTAAAGTGGAAAATTCAATTCCCTAGATGTTTTGGCCTACAATTCCCATCACACCCACCTATAATAATGAGAATTTTATGTGAAAGCACTTGCAGCACCAAAGATTCCCCATCCCTGCATTCTAATTCAGATATTTAGTCCAGGAGCAGAATTATGTGGGCAACACTACAGGTTACTAGATGCATTATTTTTCATGGGCACATTCATATAAAGACAATGCATCTCTTAGTATTTGATGGGAACAATATATACTCCATGGATCCAGATAAGAATGTTTCATATTGTTGTCATTTGTATCATTCTTAGTGGTCCCCAACCTTTTCCCAACTGTAGACCAGTTGGCGGGGTGCGGGGGTCCATGCGCAGGGGTGTGTGACATCCTTGTGTGGGGCATGCTTGTGGGGCAGCAGGAGATCTGTGTCCACCACCCGGTCCTGCCTAGCCCATGGACCAGTGCCGGGTCACGGACCAGGGATTGGGGACCCCTGCCTTAAACAATATACAAAAATAAAACCATTGTGTATTACCTTGTCACTTTACAGCTAGATTCAATCAATTCATTTTCAATGTCAAAGAGGGTAGATGGCAGATTATATTCCAGTGGGGAAGTCAATCTCTTCAAGCGCAACAACCCACAACAGAATTTGGCTCCCATCTCTTCCAGTTCATGTGTCCCAATCTGTAAGCCCTAATTAGAAGCAACAGAAACAAAGTGAGCAGTTTAGAAAACTGATGCCCCCTTTTTGATGCAACTGTTGAAATACTGGATAGAATTTCACTACATGTTTATGTTGGTATACACATTTGGCATAATTCTTGGTGATAAACAGCTGCAAGTTAAGAAGTCAGTGTAGGCATTTACTGTGACATCTAATAGCAAATGCCTACAATGACTTATTAACTTGCAACAGTTCATTGCTGAAATTTGTGCCAAACATGTCACATCACTGGGTGTGACTAGAATTCTGGATATTAACCCTCCCTCCCTCCCTTCCTATCTGTCCAAACGCCACTTTGGACATACAACAGACATACACAATGTAATCAAAATACAATTCAACAGAACAGAAAATAAAAATAAAATGCAAATAAATAATACAATCAAGTATAAAAATATATTTGCATATTTTTTAAAAAATTCAAAATGGCAGACAATTTATCTTTTGAAAGTATGCCAAACAAGGAATAAAAATCTAGGAGCAGATGAAAACCAGAAATGTTTGCTAACATACTACCATGTTTCCCCGAAAATAAGACAGGGTCTTATATTAATTTTTGCTCCAAAAATGCATTAGGGCTTATTTTCAGGAGATCTTTTATTTTACAGTCATGTCATCTTATGGTTTCTGCACAATGCTGCACAATGGTGGAGGACGGGGTTTCACTTAACTAGGGCTTTTTGGAGGGTAGGGCTTATATTTCGAGCATCCTGAAAAATCATACTAGGGCTTATTTTCAGGTTAGGTCTTATTTTTGGGGAAACATGATGCTAGTAGAGAGGAAGGCAGGACACATGGAGTCCTCCTCTCATATAAATTCATTAGGAAAAATAATGCCCTGCTATAAGTGTGCTTACCATCAAAATAGCATTATATATATATCTATTTTAAAGGGGTGGTTAAATTGCTCCTGTTTATTTTGGAGAGGGGATTACAGAAGACAAATCTGATACATGCATTAATGCAGATTAGGGCTGAGGGGTCCATGCCATTTTTTCCATTAGGGAGAGAAACCCTTCCTGCCAACTGCTATTTATCCTGAAGATGCTATTTCCTATGGACAGCACATTGGAATGCAGTAACCATGGGTGCTCGCTATTTTTTACAGAAAACTAGTGCCAAGGCATGATCAAGAATGTGAGCCTCTGTGACTTCAAAGTAATTATGTTCATTGAATCCTGCTTGTTTGCCCCTCCAGAGGCCAATATATATTGATTGATGTGTCCTTCTGAAGATAATTCAAATACTTTTTTTAAAGAAGCATTTGTATTCCACCAATCATTTACCTTGTATTTCCCTTGATCACAACCACATAACGTGCTTTCCATGGTGTAACTCCTCTGAACACCTATTTCTCTCCAGACTACAACACGTGCCGTAGACTCCTTGGACTTTTCCACGACAAAACTGCAGCTGCTCATGCAGAATGCTGGAGCTGTCTGACTCAGAATCTTAGGAAGAGTCTACAGGAAGTAAGAATTTTAAAACAATTTTAAAGAATTTAATCTGTTTAACAGGCACAAACTTACATAACCACGTCATATCCAAAGAAGATCATTTCTTTTCTGTTTTAGATTGGTATATTTATTCTTCTATAGACTCTGCTAGATTACTAATCAATACACTTGTCTTGACAGATACACATTTCAATATGTGTAATGTATTTCAAGATATTCTAAGGATTATTTGCGAGCAGCGACACTACAAATGGAGAAAAGATCACATAATGAATAATGCACACATTAAAAATATGCATGAGGCAAATATATAAATGTTTGGATCACAAACAAATAACCCTGAATAGAACAGCTCCTTCCACTCATGAAATGGTGATCCAGCAAAGAAGGCTGCTGAAAAGAAGAGAAATGGGGTGGAGACTCACAACCCCCACCCAACTCAGCTAGAATATCCAATGAGCAAATATCTCCTTAAGGAACTCTCCCACCTAAAGGAGTAAACTTAGGATCCCAAACATTTTCCTGAACTGGGGGAAAATGCTACAGTGAAGCATAGTATTATGGAATGGAACAGAATTGTAAATACTTTAATACAGAAGTTACACCAAAGGACAAAATAATAAAGAATAGGAAAGGTATCTGGATGACACCTATCTCCATTGAATAAAAATGTTGCAAGCAATAGAAAAATATTATTTACATGATATTTCCAATCTGCGTGTTTGTGTATTTCATGTATTTTACTACTCGCAAAATTAAAGGCAAGTCGTATCTTCATGAAATTCAGTCTATAGTATACTTCAACAATTTATGTACTAAATGTTGTCACAAGATGGCAGTAGACAAGAAGAAATATCTGCCATGACTTTGGGAATTTCCATATTAAAAATCTCTCCATCATACACTAGTGCCCAGTGTGATGAAGAGTAGTACAGGTCAAAAGATAACTTTTTAAAAAGTGATCTAATAAAGGTATCATCTGTCCTTGTTTTTGTACTGGATAAAGATTACACAGGTGTTTTTTTCGGGGGGGGGTTTAAACACTCCAATCTCCCATTCATTGTGACCCTCTAATTATTTCTACTCTACTCATAGAACTTGTTTTCTAAATGTATTCATTTTAAAGTCAGCATTTTAAGCTTTAGTTTTGGCATTACAATACATTTCCTTTTCTTCAGCCAGTGAATAGACTAAAGCTTTTCCTCAGACAAACATTAAAACCACTTTCATTAGGGTTGGCTTCATTCAGTGCCCTGAATCATCTGAAACACCAGCATTATTTTGGCAGAAAAATGAAAGACGGGGTTGAACAACTTTATGCATACAGCAAATGAAGAGAAATCTAAGACTTTTGATGCCATCAGACAAGACATCAGTTAAGTTTGTTCTCATGGAAATACTTGGTAGAGGTACCTTCTCTTGTGTTCAGGAGGTCTTTCAAAAAACTATTTTTTGAGAATCTACAGCACATGGTTATTTGTCTGTACTATGTAAAAACTCATAGGTGGTTACATTTGGTGAAAAAATGTGTATGGGTGGAAATCTATACATTAAGCTCTTGGAAAAATGATAATTCAGACCAACATATTTCACAGACTCTTTTCCGGATTTTTGATTGTTTCAGTAAAATACAGGATTTCCTAAAAACTGTTATGCATTCTTTCCTCCAAAAGAGAAAGCTCCTCTGAAGATGATCCTAATGGCATATGTCCATAATATTTCCCTCCTCTCTACAATATTTTCCCCTGTTCAAAAGAATGACTGGATTTAGTAACTAAATTTCCCCATACTACAAGTACTAAAATGTTTTATTCAGTGACTATCATCTCCTAAGGGTTAGAATCTAAACAGGAAACATATATTGTTCCTAATTTCAAACTGGTCATATGTATGCAAAAAAGCTCACCCTATAACCAAGGTCTTCAACCAGATCACAAGAGGCAGCATTAGTATGCCACATTGTTTCCTTGATGCTGCAGCCATACATGAACACGTTCTTTTTACGAGAATGACCATGATAATCACAAAAAACCTAGAAGAAACAGTATTTTCAACAATTTAAGATGATAAATCCTCATTAAGTATTTTCACCTATATTCCAACTCAGCTAGGAAATCTATCCATTTGTTTCAGGAGGGACTCAAGATCTAGTTCACAGATACCAATCCCAGTCTGACATGTGCCATGATAATAAACCACATGCTTTGTTCTCACCTTTGATGCCCAGCTTCAGCAAATATATCTTGGCTTCCTGAAACACAAGATGAATAACAACGAAGCTCTGGTTTGAGGGTTTCCTCCAAACCAGTTTCCTCGTTCAGATTTAAAGGGAATTCCAGATTAAGAAACCAAGATATATTTGTTATAGACACACATCCAAAGGAAAAAGAATGAAGCATGTGAGCAAACAGCTCACTCTTTAGTTGATAAATTGTGGGATTGTACTTTGCCAAAATATGCAATATGGCTGAGAAATTGGGTAACTTTGGGAAAAGCAAGTGTAACAGAGGGCCTGTTCCCACTGCCAGAATAAACCAGCAGAGGAATCCTTTATTATTATTTTATCCCAAATCCACAACTTCTGTGGTGGTGTGTATATCCTCACTGCCTCCTCAGGTTCTCTGTTGCCGCCACTACCACCATCTCCGTCCCTACTCAAATGGGTCTGCTCCACTAGGGCCAGGGGGTAGGCAGGAAGAACGGAAAGGGAAGGGGAGGAGGATGAGCAGGGTGGAAAGAGAAATGAGGGGCAAGGAGTCAGGGTGGGTGGGAAACCAAGCAAGGGAGTGGGGAGGGTGGGTGAGAGGGTGAGCTGAGGGGTGAGCGGGTGTTTTTGGGGGAAAAATCTGCTATCTGGTATAGCACTTTATCAGATAGCAGGAATATTTTTAAAAGGTGGATGGCATGTTTACAAATGTGGAATCAAATCAAATGAATCAATTCAACATCCACCCCAAAATAAATTGACCTCTGGGAGAGGAGCAGAAAAACTTACTCCTGTGCCACAGGGCTCTGCGTGTGCATGCATCTCATGTATATACTAAAATTTAAGTCAGTTTTTTTTAAGGAGAACACAATACAATGGGTTTTATAGTCAGTGGGATTGCACTCAGACATAGTAATAGATGAAACTGAATTAAAGCTGTTAATGTTTAAAATGTCACTACAAGTAAAAATAGAATATTCAAGCCAGGAAATACGAGGCTTAAAGATTGTTCAATACTTCAAACATCATCTACACTTTCTTAGGTGGCTTAATGATGTAAACAGACCCTTCTCATCTGAGAGAATGAGTATAAGATCAAAATGACCTATAACAGACAGTCATCTGTATTGACATTTGCGCCATTCATGTATGAAATGCTTTCGGGGATGCTCAAGTTTATGATAAACTAGGTAATGAGAAATAAATCCTTTCCACCATCCATTAGCAAAGTTGCCTTTCCCCTGCCTCAGAATGCAGGACAAGCTCCTGAAGCAACTGAATAATCTTTTATTTCAACTATTTATAAAAGAACATCACCTAAGGCAACCATTACTCAACTCAATTCTTCTCAGAAACAATCATATCTGTCTGTACCTGCTAATAACACAAATCTCATTTATACAATGTAGTTTGCTAGGAAAAACTCTAGAAGGTTTTGCAAATATACTACCCACACTGAAGCACACAAGAAGCTTACCAAATTGGTTTATGTATATTTTTGTAAAGAAATTGCATTTTCATGCAATGTCAACATAACTTTGAAAGGATTAAGCTGTATACACATACTTACCAGTGGCAAACGTTTTATAGCAGCCAAATACTGGAGCAAACCTTTTGCATGAAAAATTGTGGGGTGCAGAACTGGGTTTGGGTTTTGCCATTGTCTATTCAAGTCCTCCCCACTTAAAGAACAACGATGACTGCAGGACAAACATAATTCCAGTTAACAGTTTTCTTGCCCCAACAAAAATATTTTTATTCCCAGTCTGTCTTGCAATTTTAATTATGAAAATGCTTTTTAAAATTTTTATATTTTAAAAAATATCAACTAGAACATAGTTAACTTGCTCTCCCCAACATTCTGATTTCAATCCAGCCTTGAAAAAATGACACAAAGCAGTCTACATATATGTTATTCTTTTACTAAACAGAAAAACAAGTTAACAACTTCAGAGATGGGTACTGATTTATTTTTAAATATTTAACAGATTTGTTTCCCAGATTCAGATGCACTAAAACCCAACTGTGTCCATTCACAGAGACCACAAAGAACCTATATTATTGACCAGATTTTTCTATTATAGTTAGGAGTGACATTTCAGAATACATTCACATGTACTGTTGTAATGAAAAATGCTAAACAAAACTGCAATCTTATTTTAGCTATTGAATCAGTAGGTTGGAGCCCGACAGGGTGCAGTATGGGGCTTTAATCAATGGAACAGCAGAATCCACTTGAAGTAAATAGGGCCATCACTGCTTTCAGCTGCACCTTCCTTCTTCACCCCCTCCTCTCATCCAAAATCCACAGACTAGTTCTAGAAAAACCTCAAGAGCTAATTTTTGGAAATTTATGAGTGTTACAAGGAAGAAGAGGAAGTTAGTTCTTGTTGTGATGCTGCAGTAGCATGAACATTATGTTGGCTTTATGCCTTAATCGTGCATAAAGTTAGACTTACCAATATCAATGAAACAGTTACTCAGAATTCACTTTGCTCCTATTGCATTTAGTGGGTCTGCTCTAAGCAGGAATAAATTTGAATCCAAAGCATAATTTTTATACTATGAATTACACCACAGTGATGATTTTTATGCTACTTCTTTTCATTACTCAAAGGTTCCAGAGATGTAGAGTTGATAATGCTCTCAGCTTTTTAATGTTTACTGTTAAGGATTCTCAATCAAATCTGTGAAACACTGAGCACAAAGTGTTCACTGCATCATGCTGTTTAAAGTTTGTAGGAAGCATATAAGATCAGATGCATCCATCTGAGATTAGAAGGGTCCAGGCATAAGATTTATAGGCAAGGTGTACTGACAACGTTTGGAAGAGTTCAGGCAGCATCAGACTCTGCCACTCAATGCAGTTAAAAACTTACTTTCCATTGATGACTCCATCAGGATTAAGCATTGGTACAATTTTAAAAATATATGATTCTCGTAAACTCTGGGCAGCAGCAGTATTACTCATGAGGTATTCCAAGGTTCCCTTCATGACCCAGCTTGAATTAGTCTCTCCAGGATGTACACGAGCAGATAGAAAAATATATGGACGATTTCCTTAAAACAGCACAAACAAAATACAATAACAGAACTGGTTGGCCATCACATCAAGCTGATTAGGAATTCTTAAAAATATACATTCAAACATGAAAATACATTCCAGTCACATTTTTAAGTAATTTTTGACTTTTAAAAAACAAAACAGTTTATGAACAGACAAGCAGGGAATAACTGGTATCTTAATAAGCATAGAGGTTAATTCAGCCAACTTTTTAAACACAGCATTCCCATGGTGGGTGAAAGGAAGAATCCACACCATAGTTACTAATGCTTTCTATTTTTATTCAGCTAGTCACTGTGGCCTCAGCAGCAGGCAGCATTTTTCTCACCATTTTTAACCACCATGGTACTTTGGTTTTAGTTTCCCCTCGCAGAGATACCAACTGAGAGAAGAACTGCCCCTGCTCCAAATTCTGTATTTCAGAAAATATCGGAGGACCAAGAAGATTTGAGATCCTACAGATCCTTGGTCATCCCTATCATCCCTCTAAACATACCATGTCCCAGATTCCACTATTAAAAAGCCATAGCAACTTTTGTTGAGGACCTCTTTTTCCACCTGTGAAGCGCCCTACTCATGGAAAAAAGATACAGTAATAGAGATGCCTTTAAATCTCTGGCATGCTCCCTCCCTCAGACTACAGAAATGCTTCCTAACCCATGTCATCAAAGAGCAAAGCATCCATCTCTCAACCACTGAAAAGAATGGCATATAATGTAAATCCATAAAATCTAAACATTTTGTGATTGAATGCCATCCAGTCGTTTTACTTTGTTACCGTTTCCATGTGCTATTTTTGTATATTGTTACAAAACTAATTAAAATATTTTAATGAAATGATTGACACTTAAAAGTGCTTAATGTTGGCTGGATTACCTCGCTTATATTTTGTTGAGTACTATATACATATCCATACAAAAAGGTACCCAGAAAACAACTTATAGAAGGGAAAGCAAAAACAATAAAATTTGTCATTTGAAAATATTTTAATACAGCCTCAACCAACAGGAGAAAAGGGATATACTTACTAAACTGACAGATATGTTCATAGTAATTTGATTCTGGCATGGCAGTTATAGTTACTACAGGACAATTGTTTCCTGAAAGTGTCTCACATAAAACATCTTGCCGAAAATATATCTGTTGAGGATTGTGTGTGGATTCCAATTTCTGGAGATGCATCTTCATCATAAAAAGAATGAGGTTGTTAGCAATATGCCTGGAGCTTGCTTCTTGTGGCTCAGCACCTATCACTTACATTTGCATTACAAATAATAAATAATTTAAAATCATATTGAAAAACATTTAACAGTGTTCTTTAATAAATTTAGTGGAATGTTATTTCTATATATTCATTTAGAATAGCTTTCACTTTGAATTGTTTTACTACCTATAACTATCAGATGTAGGTTAATTATTTTAGGTCTGTTCTTACAGGAACATGAAATTGGCTGTTACTGTAGAAGTATGGATAGATGAGGGGGAAAGGGTAGAATCAAATATATAATCTTGCCCTTATTGGAAATCTATGAAGTTGACATTAAGAAAATCATGATGGTCACACTGAAACCTGGAATACAGTGGTGCCTCGCTTAACGATGTTAATTGGTTTAAAAAAACATCACTATGGGAAAACATCGCTAAGCGAAACACCATTTCCCATAGGAATGCATTGAAAACCGATAATCAGTTCCAATGGGAACGGATTGCTGTCCTTAAGCGAAAACTGCCATAGGAAACATCGCTAAGCGAAATGCGGTTCCCCCATTGGAATGCATTGAATAGGTTTCAATGCATTTCAATGGTTTTGACAGGTCCGTTTTCGCTATTTTTAAAGTGTCTTAAAATGTTCAAAAACTGTTTAAAATGCTTGGAATCGTTAGTGCACCTTGTAAAACCTTTGCAAACTTAATTTGACTTTGTTCTGAGTCTTCGTTATTTTTTGGTGAATTCCCCCCCCCATTGAAATGCACTGAACTGTAGGTTTGACAGCTGTGAGTCAGATTGGACCCCGAGCACCTTTATTTAGCCTTCAACAGGCCTATTAATGATTTTAATCAGGGTAGGATAAATACTTTGTTGATTTTCCCTATACAGAAAAGCAGCAGTAAAATTCTGTGTGCACTTCAGATTAATTTTACTGTATTGCAATTATATGGGAATGCTGGGAAAGGAAAGGACACCTGGCAAGCCCCTTCTTGAGGGAATCTTTTACAGCAGGGGTCGTCAGCCCCCGGTCCGCAGCCCGGCTTGCTGAAACTGGGCCGCGGATACGGATCTCCTTCCCCCCAATGCACACGCGGTGGGCATGCTGCTCCTGAGGGCAGGGGTGTTGTGCCCGCACACATGCTCACGCCCCCTGCAAGAATTAGCCACATTTGTTTGACAACTATGAAGTACCATCTACCCTGTTTCCCTGAAAATAAGACCTAACCTGAAAATAAGCCCTAGTATGATTTTTTAGGATGGTCGTAATATAAGCCCTACCCCCAAAATAAGCTCCAGTTCAGAGAAACCCCACCCTCCACCATTGTGCAGCAACCTGAAGATGACATGACTGTAAAATAAAACATCCCCTGAAAATAAGCCCTAATGTGGTTTTTGGAGCAAAAATTAATATAAGACTTTGTCTTATTTCCGGGGAAACACGGTATTAAAATTAACTCACCATTAAAGCTGAGTAAGTATAGGGATAATGGTAAGCAAAGTAACAAACATCATCCTTATGCTGGAAGGTGACTGTGAAGGTAATTGTGTAGTAAGACTTTCCCTTCTGACCTCCTGCTGCAATTGAACTTCTTGAAAAGTGATTTCTAGAAACAAAACATTAGTTTGTGTTTAAAGGTATAATGAATATTAACTGTATCTTTTCATGTAAATAATATACAAACACATAGCTCTTACTTTTACTACAAACTAAAAAGGATTGAAAATTTCTCTTTGTCTATATTCATTTTAACATTAATTGCTACAATAGTTAGCAAAATACTGTATTCAGTATTTATTTTCATCAATATCTTGCTACACTTACTTGTAATAACAAATATCTGTTCCCACACGAATCCACCAAGGTCGGCCATTTAGTGCCTCTTGAACAGAGTACATGAGGGGCTGCATACCTTTGGAAAAGATAAGTTATTGAACACAGCTGCACAAGTGCAAGAATTATAGGGCCAAATCCTCTTATTTACTTATGCAGGTATGGCACAAAATGGCATAACTTTTGGAGTCAAATCCCCAAATTAAGAAACCACTATAGACATTATCAATTATACACTGAATTATATGACTCAACATGCAACTGATAATGTCTTTGCTGATATCTCAGCATGGGGCATTCCATCTCCAAAGTTACGGCATTTCTGTAGTTAATACAAGAGGATTTTGGCCATATACTGGCACAGTTATCATTCTGCTTTTGAATATTTTATAATAAATTGTCAGGTAGGCTCGTGTGTTGTTTTCATTATTAATATTATTCATAATGTGTACAATACTTCAGCATTCACTATTTCTAATTTTCTTTTTGTATTTCATACTGTGTTAAACTCAGTGGTTGTATTTAAACACAATGTTTCTGATCCTCAGCAATTAGAACAAAACACGAGTGCTAGTAACCTGTTCTGACTTTGTCTCTTCTGCACTCAGTTGAACAAACTATAGTCTGCTGTTTGGGTATTATGGAATCGGAAGTGTTAACATGTGAATATAACCAGCGAGTATGTAGGTTTTTCCATCTTCTACCCAATACCTGCTTAAAACCTGTGTGACATCTGTTTAATTTCAGAATATATTTAAATTAAGATGCTGCTATATTCACTTGTATCTATTGTAGCCTGTTATACATCTTTGTAAGGTAAAGGTTAAGGTTCCCCTTGACATTTAGTCCATTCGTGTCCGACTCTAGGGAGTGGTGCCCATCCCCGTTTCCAAGCCATAGAGCCAGTGTTTGTCTGAAGACAGTTTCCGTGGTCACGTGGCCAGTGCGACTAGACACGGAATGCTTTTACCTTCCCACCGAGGTGGTACCTATTTATCTACTTGCATTTTTATATGCTTTCGAACTGCTAGGTTAGCAGGAGCTGGGACAAGCGACGGGAGCTCACTCTGTCGCGTGGATTCGATCTTATGACTGCTGGTCTTCTGACCTTACAGCACAGAGGCTTCTGCAGTTTAACCTGCAGCGCTATCACGTCCTTTATAGCAAAAACACTAATTATTAATAGCAGCACTACACTTGTCACTTACAGTGGCACTCAAAACTTGTAATAAATTTAACGAATTCAAGTTATTTAAACAAGCTCCAGGTGACTGAAATGTAAGAGTACAAACGAAACAGAATCAAAAGTTGTTGGAGAATATGGCATGAAATTAGAAATGAAACCTATGAAAATGACTCTCAGAATTCTGTTGCACCCACAATTTGTTTGTTGCAAATACATGCTTCAAGCAACTGAACAGATGCCTGTGTCTGTCAAAACAAGACTAAGAGCATACGGTGGTACAGAACATGAGCTGCTATTATCAAAAATTAGAGTACAGCTAAAAAGCTACCTGTTAATGACTAAAATCCTGTTGCACTTCCATGATCACAAAGGCTGATTATGTCATCCATTATGGATGCTAAAGTTTTCTACCCTTCCTCCAAGTTCTGAGACCAGGGATCCCTTTCAACCTGGGGGAAACTTTGGAAGCCTTGGGATGGGAGGATTCATTAATATCCAAAAATCACTACTGCTGGTCCCATCGATGGGACTGGGACTGGCAGTGGTGCTTTTCTGATATTATAGGCTTGCACTCTCCAAGGCTCCCAAAGGTTTCCTCAGGTTGAAAGGGATCCTAGAGCCTCAGAACCTCAGGGAGGGGGGATCTATAGATAGGAAACTACAAATTAATATCTGTAGCTGATATCATCAACCTTATGACCACACAGCTCTACCAATGAGATTCCAGCCAATGACAGATAAGAAGAAAAGGGTGAAAAAAGGGTAAATGGTGAAAAAATTAGGGTCAAACTCTTTATCTTTAACAACTGACAAGCAGGGACAAAGAAAAATTATTATAATAATCGGTGCAAGTAAAAAGAAAAGGAAAAGGAAAACAAGGGTTTTTTTCTTAAGAGATCAAGGAGAAATGTAAACCAAGATTAATGACACTGAAAGAGCAGCAGAGGATTATATTGTCTGATCAAGAGGGGTTTTTTTGTAAAGAAGGAAACAATATATTGAAGAACTGTACAGAATTTAGGAATTCCTGACTCCCCTTTTCCTTTTTGTCACCCCTTATGTTAAAAAAATAAAAATTATTTAAAAAAAAAGAACTGTACAGAAGAGATGCAAGAATGACAGATTCCTTTGAATTTCAGAAAGAGAAAGCCATTTTCAGCTGGAAGAAACAGGCATAGGTGGGATATCAATAGAAATACTTCAAGCTACATAGATTGTAAAATCTTTACCAGAATATGACAACTCAAAACAACAACCCATAGAATGGAAATGTTCAATATGCATTCTGATCACAAAGAAAGCAGATGTCAAAGAGTAGTAGGTAAGTGTAGGACCATCAAATTGATCTATGCAAGGCAAGTAACATTCAAGACTTTGCAACAAAGATTTTTACCATACAGGGGTGACAATTGCTAGCTGTTGAAGATGGATTCAGAAAAAGAAGAGGCATGAGAGAGATGTGCCTCCATGATAAGGGCTGGACTCAATGATCCATAGAGTCCCTTCCAGCTCTGTATTACTAAGATCCAAAACTAAATTTGCTATTGGAAAGCACTAAAAAATTTCAGAGAAAAATCAGCCTATGCTTTATAGATTATAGCAAAACCTTTGAACACATGGATTATAAAATGTCTAGACAATTGTAAAAGAAATGGGTGTGTCATAAAATTTGTTTGTCTTGATACATAATTTAGACTATGAACAAGGGACTACTGTTAAGAAAGTATATGGAGACATAAAATGTTATTTCCCTATCTGTTTGATTTATAAACAGAACATGCTATATGGAAAGCTGAAATAGATTTAGATGAAAAAGGAGTGAAAATTGGTGGAAGAAACTTCAATAATTTAAGATATGCAGATAACACCGTATTACTGGCAGAAAGCAGTAATATCTTGAAATGACTCCTGATGAAAAGTATTAAGAATAAAGTGCAAAACTGCTATTGAACATTAAGATAAAAATCATGACTACAGAAGAATTACATAATTGATGTTGACAATGAAGAAACTGAAACAGCTAAAAGATTTTCTATACCTTGGGTTCAATCATCAATCCAAATGTAAACTACAGCCAAGTAATCAAAAGAAGGCTGAGAGCTGGACGGGCAGCTGTGAAGGAGCAAGAAAACATACTTAGGTCACTGGAGACCAAGGCCAGGATCATCCACTACAGCATGTACTAGCATGTACAGGTGTGAACATGGCATAATAAAGAAAGTTGAGAAAATACTGGTGACAAATATTGATTCGCTGGAAATGTGGAGCAGAGTTTGATGGATATAATGGGACTATCTGAAAGACAAAAATGGAGAGTCACCTTCTCAGAATTGAATTGAATGAAGGGGGAATCTGACCGGAGGGCAGCGAGTTCACTGGCTCTTTTGGCTGAAGTGACAGCTACCAAGAAAGCTGTTTTCAAGGTAAGTAGTTTAAGGTCAGACATGGCCATGGGTTCGAAGGGTGGGCACATCAGTGCATTGAGAATGGTCTGTAATGACCATTGAGGAGTAATACGTTGTGGTGGTGGGTGGGTATTATTAAGTCCTTTGAGAAACTTTTTCACAGCTGGATGAGAAAAGAGTCTTGCAAAGGGGGAAGGGTGGTGTGCGACGATCGCTGCAATGTAAACTCTGAGAGCTGGGATCGACAAACTGAAGAGATGGAGAAGGCAAGTGAGCAATTTTTTAATGGAAACTTGTATGGCAGGTAAGTTATTGTCTTTTGTGCATTGAAGAAAAGATTTCCATTTATTCTCATATAGGCGTCTGGTAGAGGGCTTTCAAGCCCAATCTATGACTAACTGAAGGTCGGGATTATCCTCCAAGCTGCCAAGTGAAGGGATGAGAGGTCTGGGTGGTAGACCATCCCGTCGTTCAGCATCAGGAGATTGGGGACCAGAGGGAGTCGGAACGTGTCCGTCGAGATCGACCGGAGGTAAGGGAACCATGGTTGCCTCGGCCACAAGGAGGCTATCAAAATCGCATGTGTCTGGAAGTGGTGGATGCAAATTACAGTCCGTTGAATTAGTGGGATTGGGGGAAATAGGTAAAGAAGTCCCCTCGACCAGTTGACCATAAAGGCATCCCTGATGGAATTGGCATCGGTCCCAGCTCGAATGCAGTAACTCATGCATTTTGCGTTCAATCTCGAGGCAAAAACATTGACGTCTGGTGTCCCCCAGCGACGGCAGAGGAGACGGAAGATCGATGTTTTGAGGGACCACTCGTGCGATCTCGATGTTAGGCGACTCAGATGGTCCGCAAGGTTGTTCTCCTCTGTGGAGATGTGTACTGCTATGGGAAAGATATGGTGCTGGCAGCACCATTCCCAGAAGTCTATTGCTAGGTGTAAGAGGGAGGATGATTGGGTGCCCCCTTGTTTGTTGATGTAAAAGAGGGCAGTGGTGTTGTCTGTTGCCAGTTGGACTCCACGGCCTCGAATAAGTGGTAGGAAGGCATGGAAGGCTTTTATGATTGCTATGAGTTGCAGATGGTTTATGTGTAGCATCGATTCCTATCTCGTCCAGAGTCCGTGAATTTTGTATTGCAGGCAATGTGCACTCCATCCCGAGGGAGATTTGGCATGATTGACTTGAAGATCCAGGTTTTGCAGTGTAAGCAGGGTAATGCGGGTAGCTCTCATGGCGTCGAGATGAGAGTGTGATATAATGAGCCAATCGTCGATGTAATGGTAAATGTGGATACCCTGAAGACAAAGGAAAGCGGCAATTGGAACCATGCACTTTGTAAAAGTCTGTGGAGCTGTAGAGAGTTCAAATGGGAGGGAGCAGAACTGGTAAGCCGAATTGTTGGTGGAAGTGGAGGTACTTGTGGTGGGATGGATGGATGGATATATGAAAGTACGCATCCTTGAGGTCAATCAAGACGAAGCAGTCTCCCTGCGAAAGAAGGGGGATAACCCACTTGTCATTTGTGATGTGTTCCCAGAATGGGAGAAAAGGTCACAGTCATGGGGAAAAAGGTTGAATTGAATTTAGATTTGCCTGGATAGGGGTATCAATATCATCAATAGCCCTTACCCTTCCCTTGCACCCTTGCCGGAGGTTGGCGGTGTTGTCGCTGGTTCCGAGCACGGGCTGTTGTGGTCGACGGTCCTGGGGTTGAGAAAGGTCTGTCAGATTGCTGTTGACCAAAGGGTCAGTGTGCCCGGTATCTCTGGAAAGGCTGGAAGGGTTTCTGGTAGTATTGAGAGGATCTGTAATTTGGTTTGTAGGGATGAAAGGAAGATGGGTTCATGTAAGTCTTAGCTGTTTTGCACATCTTGTGAACACTTTCCATGGTGTCGTCTGTTTTTTTGTTTTTGTTTTTAATGAAAAAGACCAATATCATCAAATAGAAGTTCTTCTATTCTATGCTTGGCGTCGTCAGTAAGGGATGTAGACCTGAGCCATGCGTATCTGTGGATGGCTATGGAAGATGCCAAGGGTTTAGAAGCAGCTTCGGAAGCATGTCTGGCAGCTATTTTCTATTGCCTTGCCAGGGAGGTTGCTTCAGCATGGGCGTTCATGAGGTCTGTCTTGATGGATTCAGGGACAGGCTCAAGAATGGGTAGGATTTTCGCCCAGAGGTGCCATTGGTAGGCGCCCATTGCTGCTTGGTGGTTAGCTGCTCTGAGTAGGAAAGACTGAAGGGAATAAATTCTTCTGGCTATGACGTCGAGTTTTCGTCCTTCTTTATTAGTTGGTGAAATCGATGGTTTACCTCTGGACTTTAGTAAGTTGGATTCGACTATGATAGAATTAAGTATTGGATGTTTTGCCAGGAATTCCATGTCAGGATCATGGGTTCTGTACATGTTGTCAGTGCGTCTGGACATTCTTAAGTTTGTAGGAGGAGTGTCCCAGGCATCTTTGATTATTTGCTCCATGACAGGGATGTATGCCAGGCTGAGAGGCTGTGACTTTTCAGTATGGATATCATCGAAGGTGATATCTGCCTCAGGGGAAGGCGGTTCCTCAACCTTAAGCTTGAGTGCAGTTGCCATACGGAAAACCAGATTGGAGTATGAAGTGAAGTCCTTTGACGGAGAGGATGGTCTTGTATCAATAGGGTCAGAACCGGGTGTAGGGATATTCGGAGCAGACTCTGGCAACAACTCTTCATCGGTGTCATGATCTGAGGGTGGTGGAGCAGATGAGGAATCATCATCCGAGTGGGAAGTAGCCTGAGACGCTCTAGATGGTGCAGTTCTTGATGTCGTAGTTGATGTAGTTGATGTAACATGGTGATCCTTCAAAGAATGCTTAGGTTGCTTAGATGGTAGAGCAGACGAAGAGTGTGAGTGTTGTTTTTTCAACATTGAAAGGGATGTAGATGTCGAGAGTGGTTCAATAGGTTTGGATGTCATTGTCGGTGGTGGAATCTGAGGACAGAGTTGCAAAGATTCGTCATGGAATTTTTTTGCTGGAGTTTGTAAAAATCCTTGGTATGCTTCCATCTGGAATTGATTAGCAAAAGGGAAGAAATTGTTCATGCCAAGCTGTTGGAAGGCAAGCTGTTGGTAGGCTAGAAAAAATGGGAACTGATAACACTGACCAAATTGAGGCATTGGAGCTGGTGGTTACACATGCTTCCTCTTCTCCTTATGTTTCTTTGGAGATCGAGGAGGAATCTCAGGTTCAGATGGCTCAGTTTTGAAAGCCCACCCTGAAATCGTGTTCGAATGGGCAGTGGCCAGACTGGATGGAAGCTCAGTCCCAACATGGGCAGTGGAGGGAGAGAAGCTACCAGGCAGGGCTGGAGCTTGTGCTGATGGAATAAGCACCTCATCCCTTTCCACTATAGATGCAGCAACTTCCATAGAAGATTCTTTCAATATGGGAGAGGGTGGATGCTCTCCTGGTGGATCCACATGAACCGATTTAGCTTTCTTAGGCTTAGTAGCGGGTTTTTCCTTTTTCTTTATAGATTGCTCCTTCAGGGCTTTAGATTTGGAAGCCCTGGAAGTATCAGAGCCCGTCTTGGAATGGGGCGAAGGAGTAGAATGCCCCGGAGTGGTGGATGAGGCTTGTCACGGCAGTGCTGTTTCTGAGTGTGGAATTTCAGCAGGAGCCACTGCAGCAGGATTCATGATGGCTTCCCAAAGGTGAGACCTTATTAATCTCTGGAGCCTGTGCTTTACCACAGGCTTGGCAAAACTTTTACAGGCTGCGCAGGACTGGGTTTGATGTTTGTCGCCCAAACAAAATAAGCACTTGTCGTGGCCGTCAGTGGATGGAATCTTGCTATTGCAGCCGACACAGCGCTTAAAAAGAGCTGAAGAGGCCATAAAGGGTGGGAAATATAGGGGGGGGGGAGGTTGAAAGTCCAGGGAGAAGGGGAAGGCGGTTTGACAAGCTAAAAAATGACAATCTGACATGAAACATGCATGGGAGATCAAACGAAAGAAATTGTGGATTGATAATTGAAGTTGGTAATGGGTCCTTAGCAGGTATTTAGCGGCACAAAAGGCTTAATAATCACTCTCTCTCTTCTGTAGAACCTTTCAGCGGGGGGGGGAAAGGAACTGACGGGAGAGGTGAGTGGGAGGAACATTGCCTCATGGGAGATCATGTGACTTTTAGCTCTAGAATCTTCCGAGATCGTCAGCGAAGGCGCGGACAATACCCACTGTGTGCATTCACAGAGGCCACGATGAAGAACCTCCTATTTTTCAAACAAAAAAGAACGGACTAGAGTGACAAGAGTATTAAACATGCCGCATTTAACTCCTTTATTCCGCCTGTTTCTTGCTGACTGGATAGGGGCTCTTAATGGTAGCAATTATAAACAGATTCCGTTTAAAAACAGGTAGAGAAACCTAGACTTCAGAAGGGCCACAAGGTCAGTATGGATGGGGGATCTCTTAGCATACTTTCTATGCTGTTGCTGCTGCTGTCATTATGTGCCATCAAGTGGCTTCTAGGTTACAGTGACCCTATGAATGAGCCATCTCCAAAATGTCCTGTCAAAACAAACCGGGTCAGCTACTGCAGACTCCATTTGTATTGGGCCTTCACCTTTTCCTGCTGCCTTCCATCTTTCCCAGCATTATTATATTTTCCAGAGAATCCTGCCTTCTCAGAACATGCCCAAAGGGAATCCTCAGTTTCAACATTTTTGCCTCCAGAGATTATTCAGGTTTGATTTTATCTAGGACCCATTTTATGTAGTAGCATCTAAAAACTTTCAACAACAATTTCCCTTTTGATTAGTAAAAAAGTACTTTAAAGGATTTTGACCACTTCATAAGTAATTATACTTCTCAAATATATCATTTTAACAGAAAAAGAAAAACAGGTCTTACCATAATTAAATTGACTGTTTGTCTTCTCGCAGTTGATTATATTAAATCTGTAAGCAATGCCTGTCCGCATTCCACTGACTTCAAAGTAAAACCACTGGTGATAATGATTGCTGTTTATGTCAGAGTTCAGAATAAGATCATACTCATTTCTAAAAATGATCAGAAAGAAGTAAGTTTTAAAATTAAGAGCAACTGTAGTACGATAATTAAAGTAAAAGAAAGGTAAAATCTTACTTTCTAATCTGAATAACTTTCCGTAGATTTCCGGATTCAAACTTGGAATTGAACTTCAAGACATCTCCTTCATCTGGCACTGGATAACTTTAAAATAAAATGGCAAGAAAAGCAAATTTACATCTAAAAGCAATTTAATTCTAATTTACATCAAATATTACTGAGTACATAGATTAAAGGGATAATGGGAACAACGTGGAAAATTCACTCTAAAAATAGTTACAAATGTCACTTATAGTCATTGTTGTTAGGATTTTAATTAGTAGGAGTTCCACTACCAGATATTTCATATTCCTTACTGCTTTCCTCAATACAATTTAATGGATGAAATCTTGTTGCACAGTTCTGCATGAGCAACAAGGATAACAGCAGCAGTAGCAAATAACTACTGATTAAAGCTGACTTTGGGTTGCATGCAACTAGTATGCAATGTGATGAAGTTGCATCCACCTGAAACCATCAAAAGCTGTGTAATTTACTATTGGTTTATATGCAAGAAAATGTAATTTTCTTTAGAATATTCACAATAAGAATAGATTAGAATAGAAGTAGATATGGATTGCTTCATCTTTAACCTTCCCTAGCTGGAATTCCTAGGGTTCTTGTTGAAAAGAACAACTGGGTGTTACACTTCACCTATTCAGTACTTTCAAAATGACTAGTTCTTTATACAAAATAATTTAAAACTGAAGAGGAATTAGGACATAAGAAAATGAAGGGAATACTATGAACCTACCTGATATTCTCAAGGTCATAAACAACTCTGTCTATAATATCATTAGGATGAATCAGCCTTTCAATGTCTTGGTTAATTTTTGTCCTATAAAAATAAAGAAAGTTCTCATACCACGTTTCTCAACTGTTAGCTAAGAAGAGGTAATTTTATGTATTAGAATTACACCATTAGGAAAGAATGAAGATTCTAATGTTCAAGTGAGATTTCAGCTTTAACATAAAATCCTGCTAAATATTTGTGGAACCAGGTACTTCCCACATAGAGAAAAGGCAGTTAATACGGGAACGGAGAACCCATTATTATTTTCCTTATTAGAATAATTATTTTCCTTCAATATGCCTAGCTTGTATTGGCAAGTGATTATTATTTTCTGTTAGTATTAGTAGCTAAACCCGGTTAAGATCTGAGAACAATTATATTTCATTAGTGATTCATGCAATTAGAGTTGTAAAGATAAGTTTAAAAGTCTCAGAGACTGTATTGTGCAGTGATTGGGTTAGTGTGCAAGCTTCTCACCTCTGGAAACCCCAATTAAAACATTACAAGGTTATAAATAAAGAAGAGAAATGCCATGAGCTAAATGTCAACAAAATGTACAAACATTTTATTTCTGACAGTACAAGTCTTCCTTGAATTAGGTTCAATTTCTCATAGATTAAGTCAAATGGCTATCTCCAGCTCAAAGAATTGTTATACAGTTCAAATATATTCTCATAACTATTCAAGACCTACGTTAAGAAGAGTGTGCACAGTACATATAAAAACAAAACAGGAAATAGGAGATGAACAGAAAGAAAGCTTGATACAAATACAGGAGATTAATTCCAGGGCTTGATGAAAATGGCTCAAAAGCTGCAAACACATGTCGAAGAATCATATGTGAAACAATACTGTTGAAAATTTGAACCTGGGTTCAATCCCAGGTAGCGGCTGAAGGATGACAGCCTTCTATCCTTCTGAGGTGGGTAAAATGAGTACCCAGCTTGCTGGGGGGGGGCAATGTGTAGCCTGCATAATTAACTTGTAGACCGCCCAGAGAGTGCTTGAAGCTCAATGGGGTGGTATATAAGCAGCATGCTTTTGCTTTTTTTTTTTTTTTGCATTGTTGAAAGTACAAAAAGGCAGCTTTTAATGTTAACATGAGGTAAATCTTCAATGTCCAAGAAAAGTCTTGTTAAATGTTAGATATCACTGTTGTTTAATAACCACTGCCATAGAGCATCACAATCAATCATTTGTAAACCTACTTTGGAAACAATGCATCAGTTCATGGAAAGCAAAGGTAAAGGTAAAGGTTCCCCTTGACATTTTCAGTCGAGTCGTGTCCGACTTTAGGTGGCGGTGCTCATCCCGCTTTTCAAGCCATAGAGCCAGTGCCTGTCCGAAGGCAGTTTTCCGTTGTCACGTGGCCAGTGTGACTAGGGAACAACGTTTTACCTTCCCACCGAGATGGTACCTATTTATCTACTTGCATTTGCATACTTTCAAATTGCTAGGTTGGCGAGGAGCTGGGACAAAGCGACGGGAGCTCACTCCGTTACGTGGATTCAATCTTACGACAGCTGGTCTTCTGACCCTGCAGCACAGGCTTCTGTGGTTTAGCCCACAGTGCCACCACGCAAAACAGATAGGTAAATGTATAGGTTGTGCCTGTTGTGTTTCCTAACTACCCATCTATTGATATATAATGCTTCCTTTTTCCCAAATCAAGGTGGTTGTTCTCTTTTTTTAGTGAGAGGTAATGGCTATCAATAGGCAGCCATGCATGGAAGTCAATATTATGGGCATCAATAATAAACTCTGAGGTTCTTTCATCCTGTACCATCTTTGAATGGATTTTCTGAAATAACCAACATGTTTTCTATTCTTACACAATTACGTTTCTGCAGTAGTTATTCTCATTTAATAACCATAACTTCAGCACTAACTGTACTCTGCTAGTACAAGCACCATATATTTTTACAACATGATTGGTATTTGCCATTATTTTTAAATAATGTTGCCTTATTTATTGTGTGACATTGGGCTCCATCCAATGTTACACCAGGAGTCCTTTATTTCCTCCATCCCACACAGTCCACAACACTGCTTCAGAGCAGATACAAGAAGAGGAGCAAGAGCAGCAGGACACTTTCTCTTTGTGTGCACATGTGTGTGTGTGGAGAGATTCTATTCTGTCAGTTATATCTGCTCTGCTGGTGGATGGACACCAACAGATAGGATCTGTAATAATTTTCCATGTTTATGGTAAATCCTTTCTGCTACAAAGAAATAATTTAAAAAACTTCTCCAAAGTATGAAATGGACTGTGCTCTAAAATATTGTGTTTCCCTGAAAATGAGACAGTCTTATATTAATTTTGCTCCAAAAACGCATTAGGGTTTATTTTCAGAGGACGTTTTATTTTTTTCATGGACAACTATCTACATTTTATTCAAATGCAGTCATATCATCTTCTTCTGGTTGCTGCACAATGGTGGAGGGTGGGATTTCACTTAACTGGGGCTTATTTTGGGGGTAGGGCTTATATTACGACCATCCTTAAAAATCATACTAGGGTTTATTTTCAGGTTAGGTCTTATTTTTGGGGAAACAGGGTAGCTAGCCTTGAAAGTATCATAGGATTCCTTTTTCAACCACATGCATATCTCTAAGCAACTAACAAATAACAGTAATCAAACTCAGAGCTGAATTTGGCAAAGGAAAAAAAGTAAAACAAGCAAACAAATGCTAACAAATTTCATTTTCCATTCTCTGTGTCTAAAATATAGTCCAGTGTTTAGTTTGGCCTCAGACATGGGATTCAGCAGTTAGGCCAAAACACAATCAAGCTGCTGTGACTTGATTGGCAGCACAAAGGGCATACCAAGGACAGCCACAAGGGAAATACATGCTCATGGCCAGTGCTTATTCATGATGAAGCATGATCTGTCTACTCAAATAAGAGCAATGGTATGCAATGTAAGGCAAACAGTACACTGTAACCATTTCTATGTTTATCAGCAATTCAGCCATTAACCTAAGATTCTAAATATGAGCCAGTACTCCTAGTTGTCACCAGAGTTACACAAAAGAGTCAAGTTTCCAAGAAGAATCAGGCACAAAAATATCTCTGATGCATGGAAGACTAGCCCTCCTACTAACATAACATATAGCAAGGCCAGGGCCTTTGCACCTTACTATAGTGCAAACATTTTTATTTCACTAATAATGTGAGAAGAGTTCAGCTTCACATTATAATTTTGCAACGAAATTCTCATTTTAAGCATGGCCTCCCAATCCCCACCCACCCACCGCAAAAAAGGTACAAAGAAGTTTAACTTATCACATTGACATTTGCCCTTCATATGCTATTAACAAAACAAAGCTGGCGCTCATGGTTCCAACAGCACGTTGTGTCAAGATCAACTTATCAACATGTCAATACCAGGTACTACTATGTATTTGCACAGCACCAATAGTACCCTGGAATGTATTCTGCTGTACTACCAGAGCATAAGCTTTGGTGTCACACTGCATACTAAAGTAAATTCCATGCATCTTTGATACTACGAAAAAGAGATTTAGAGAAAGAAAAGAGAAAAAAAACAAATCATTTGGCAGTGGTAGGATTTCCTGCCCTATCAGTTTGAAATATAAGGTTCAAGGAAACTGCACACACCCATTCACTGACAACTATGCCCAAAAAGGAGTTCAAGAAACCCCGATGTTATGAAGGAGAAATATCCAATATTTCTTTCACATACATCAGAGTTCGCATGTGACTGCCAGCCATTCTCTTCTTCCTTGTGGAAGAAAAGGAATAAAGTTTGAGATTAAAGTTTAAGAATTCTAAGACTTCTATATTCTGATAATGACGACGATGACAACTCTGATAGTAACAATGACAACAACAACAGTTCTTAGCACTTTACAGAGCATTTTATATATGGTGATCTGCACAACATCTCATTAAGATTATGATAACCTCACACAAACAATGGTAGAACTGATTTTAACAGATTGCTTAAGTCCCTCCAGAATATTCATGGAGTTCCAAAGAAATCTGAACTGGCGACCACCAAGGTCAGTCTTGGTATGGGAAATCCGGTATGTATCTTTCCCATTGCAAGAACTGTAATTTTGTCATATCATATAACTGAATTGCTATTTAAAAATATTCTACTTCAAGTTCTCATTGGGCTTCATTGTTAAAAAGTTTTATTTCATTAAATGAAAAAAAAAACTGTAGAGAAAACAGAATTGTACCTTCTCAAAAGATTCTCCCATAATAGCTTAATAAGAATAACTAAAATTATTCTTCATTATTAGCAGAATCAAGTTTAATTCAGATTTCTACAATGGGATTTCCAATCATGGAATGTGGCATTCTCTAGTCTTGGTTCGTTTTGCTCTCTGCAACGTCTCCAGGATCTGCTTAACAGTGCTGGGGGAATGCTCTCAAACAACATGCTGGATAGAAAGAACAATTGTTTCATTCCCTCTTCCTTTCCATCCATAGAATTTTCACTGGATGCAAGTTCCTACTGTTCATGAATGAACTCTTTTGATCCAGACTAATGAGGTTTTTTTAAAAAAATGTAATTTTATTGTGAATATTTCAGACACAAACACATAGTAAACTTCAACTACAGATTACTGAAAATGCTAGAAAAAATGACAAACTCACCTCTGCACACCATAAGGCCTTTCAAGAATAGGCTCTTTAAATGGAGGTGGAATGTGTCCAAAATAGTCTGGATAAGCCACTTCTGAATATTCAGGAACAGACTTTGTATTTTTAACTATTTCAATATAAAGTTCTGGATCATGAAGTTGTATTGTATCAGGCACCTCAAGCATCACTTGCTCTCCCACAGAATATGAGCAGGAAACTTCCTCGTCTTCAGGATCAGGTCCAGAACAGCATAGCTTTCCCAAATGCACAGGTCTTCCTTCAAATAAAACACTTCCACAAGATGACACTTGTTGAAGAGGCTTATTATAGGAAATTTCACTAAGGCTAGTTTTACACTCTTTTTTGTTCATGGCCCTTGTAGTATAAGAGCGTTCATTTTTGGAAGTATTTTGCAAAGAAATTCTGTCAAAATCTTTAACTATTTCATGGTTTAGGCACTGGCATGATGAAACATTCCTTTGATCACCTTGGTTCTGCAGGCTATTGTCTATGTTGTCATCATCCATTAGGAGACCCAAGAAAATTGGTCTTTTATTGCAGTCCTCGGTTTGTAGAGAATGACTCTCCTTCACAGGCATTTCAATTGCATGGTTTGCCAGAGACTGCTCTTCGCCAGCAGTAGGAACAACAATAGGCCTTCCTGGTCTTATGTTGGTTGAAAAAGGCTTTGGTTCCTTGGAAACTAAATCACATTCCTTACCATTTTAAAAAGGGAAGGAAAAAAGCAGGGATTGTTGCTAGAAATACTTAGATATCTGAATTCCACATTATATAAATAACAACAAAACAAGATAGGTCATGCCTAAGGGATTAAATATGATGTGGTAGGGGTATGTTTAAGAAAACAGAAGGAAAAAGCTTTTCTGGATAGAAGGAGCAATATACCTAGAAGCTAAGTAAAATATGGAGGAAGATGAGTCAACTACAAGTGAGCTTGTCTGCAGACAAGCAGTGTCTGAAAAAACAAGGACACAAATGTACTCAGAAGTGAAGACCTTACACACTGATGCAGAAATTGACATAGAGATGTATCATAAGAACAGCTCTGCTGTATCAAGGTTTCAAGCAAGATAATGTGGACATTATGGAAGTAATGTGGACACTTTTATGCAGAATCATGATGAAACCCTTCTTTGCCCCTAGCAAAAGGCAAACAACCACTACTCAGACATATATGGAGGTTCCTTCTAGTTACTATAGTTAATAATTATAATACACGACCATGAATTTTTCTAATCCTTTTAAAAAGCCATAACCACACAGAATAAGTATTTTTTTCTGTGCAGAAGTTACCACAATAAAATTTACTGGATAACAATAAGTTTTAATTTTATGAATTTCATTAATGTATGAATTGCACTGTATTGAGAAATGTATAATTATATGATCTTTCCTTCCATAGTTCATTTTTCTAGATGAAAAATGTATAGTAATCGTGCTCCAACATCTTGACTGTTTTGTTATTAATGAGGTTTTATATTCAGAGTATTTTTTTTACTCAGTTCAGCTTTATCCCACCCTTTTCCCACTATGGAAGAGAAAGAAACAAAGGATGTAATTATAATCCCTTGTTTCTTTCACTGTGAAACCGAAGATAGCACTCACTGGGATCCTAGGTAGCCTCCCATTCAGGCACAGGGAAGACTCATATATGCCTAAATTCAGCAAGGTGGGCGGACCACAAAAACAAAACAAAACAAAAAATCTATCACCTAAAGGAATATCTATTAAAATCTTTTATTTCTTGGCATTAAGAACATGTAAGATGATAAAAGAAAATTTTACCAATTGGTACAACTTCATCTTAGCAATTCTGAAAAGAAGAAAGTAGTTTTGGAAAAAGCATGCATTCAAGAAAAAAAAAGAAACAAGGAAAGACTACAGAATGGAGCAAGAAGTAAGGTAGAGATACTGTGGATACTAAGGGCTATAAGATCAATTTTAGAACTTTAGCTGTAGAAACTCATTTAGATTTTTTTCATGAAACTAGGGAAAAAGGAAGAAATGAAAGAGAGGAAAAAGAGAGATAGTCAGAAGTATAATGATGCTGCCTGAAGCTGTAAGAACAAAAAAAGTGTAATGGGAGGGGAAAGGGAGAAAAAATCCAAATAAAAAAAGGGGGGGGGAAATCACCCGAAAAGCAGATAGAAAGGGGAACCAAGAAGAGAGAGTATCACAGCAACCAACAGAGACAAAATGAACAGAAGCAGCAGAAATTTCAAAGAAGACAGCTGTGAAGAGACCATTAGGTGGCAAAATCTTAGGTTACAGTGGTTTCCATTAACTGAAGGCCACTCACGCAAGGAGTCTTGCAGTAAAGATGAAGGGACAGCAGCAAGAGGAAAAGGAGGTGGTCTAATTGAGTGTTTTTCTTTAAATATGGGAAGATAGGTACAGGCCTGAAAGCAGAAGGGAAGACAATCAATGAGCATTGCTATGGAGAAAGAGGAGGGGGCATTCCAGGAAAGTCTCAAAGAGAAATTCTGATAGCTTAAGATCGCTACTTGACATTATGCATATATATTTTATGTTAAATACATTTATTAAGTTGCACTGTCGAATCTTTATAGCTTCATACTATTACTCTCTTATCAAGTTGCAACCTTGCAAGTTTGAATGTATAATATATTTCATTTGAATTAATAGCCCCATAAACTGTGCTTTATCTTGCCTGCACTTCTCATAAAATACACATTTCTTAATAAGACACCAATATCTATACCTGAAAATCCTCTGTAAGTTCTGGGAAAAAGCATTCATATATCTTCAGATCTTCTACTGATCGTCCTAATTCTTGCTTTGGTTTCAGTTTGTTGATATCAGTCTCTATATCATCATTCTAAGGAGAGGAGAAATCAATCTACATTATTGAAAGCCTCATGATACATAATAGTATTTTATACACAGACATTTGCAAATAAACTCTTGTAAACTCAAGAAGAAACAAAACAAATGCTTTTACTGCATTAATAGTGCACACTGACTGCATTTGCACAAAATGCTAAGTCACATTTTATAATTCTATCCCACAAAAGAAAAAAAGTCCATGAGAGATAGAGCACTCTCCACTTTCTTTTCTTCTTCCTCATGGTTGAGAGGTGGAATAAATGAGGATTCAGATTGGTTCTTTGCTAGGTATCAAAATACCGGTGATTAGTAAGCAAGCGAATTTTACAAACCTGTCTTGTTTCAGTCAAAGCACTTATTTTTGTGATCTTCATATGACATGAAATCAAAATACATAGGTAGCATAAAGAGGAATTCTAGCTTATTTCTGCTCCCAACTGCAGGATCTTGGGGTGACCGAGCTTGCTAAGAGATGGATGATACTCAGTTAATAAGAACAGAAATTGAGCAGTTTCGGATTGTTTGCTAGAGTTCAGCAAGTTTGTGAAACATTACACTCAAAACACAGATTTGTACTTCTTTTCTACAAATCTAGATTAAGTTTTCCCGGTACTGTTTTAACAAATCCTCTGTAGCTAAGAATTAGAATGTTTATGGTTTTGGAACATGATACATGGACAAGTAAATTTTCAGTACAAATATTTTCAGAAAAAGAGCACTGGTATTAGTTCTTCAATTCTATCACCAACCTTAAAATGTTGATCTATGTAATCTTCATTGTCATTTTCAATCTCAGATTCTGTCTCGGTGTCATCATTGTCATCACTTTCATCTACTACGTCATCCACTGTGATATAAAATTCTCTATAAGTAGGGCAGATGTACGTTTTCTACAATATGTACATCCCAGAAAAGAAATGATGCATGTGAAACTTTTCACTCACTAGCTGAAATCTAATACTACATTAAATTAAAACTTCATGAGACCATGACCTGCGTATTAAAGTACACAGATTTTTTGACTGTTAACAAAAACAATTTATACCACGCTTTTCACAGAAAGATGACAAAATCAACTAGTGGCACTCCAGTAATTTATAACATGCCTGTATGTACAAAGACAGCCTTCCAACAAAGACAAATAGAGTGAGCTTTGTTGGAGGTCTGGAGTGTAAGAGAATGATGTTGAACATCATGTGGAGTCAAATTCCATAAATGGAAGCTCCATTTCACAGAAGACATTTCTGTCCAAATTTTGGCAAGTGTCACTTCTTATTTTATTTATTTGATTTGATTTATACCCCACCCATCTAGACCAAAGGTCTACTCACTCAGCCCTTCGCATTAACCTTTTCAATAATATCCTCCAGCCAGCGGGAGGAGTGTCTTTTGGGCCTTATATAACTATTGGGGTCAGGAGATACATTATCTTCAATTCATCTCTTTCCATAGATGCTTCTCTAAATCCAAGCCAAAATTAATAGAATTTATAAAATGATCCACACAATTTGCTAATTTAACCATATTTTACTGCTGATTTGACACTTGTAAAAGTCTTTAATATTTTCACAGCCATTTGTGAAAACTATCAACTGCCAAATATCTCAAGCCATTCTAATAGATACTGGCAAGAAGGGATGAGCCACACATGCAGTTTCCACAATGCTACTGTGGACTATTTATTTATTGTTCTCCTTCTAAATTTAGAGTCAGTAGCATAGATTGTTTGTTACATCAGTCAACTTCATGAAGGGTTTTCCAAAGACTTCAAAAGGTAATGAATGGATTAGGTTGTATTATTACACAAATAGAAGTCAGGTTTCTTAGCTTTCTGCTTGATTTTCAGTGATTCCCTCCTTTCATTGCTGTCTTGGTCAAAATACCTCCCACAGTTCAGAACACTCCCAGCCTCCAGAGACAGCTTCTGGAGAGTACATGGAACTACCATGGAGGAAAGAAAAACAAACATTGCTTGTGCAAGCCTGCTTCTACTAGCACAACCATTGCACACAGACCACTGGAACAAGCTAAATTAATGTGAAATTTGTTTTCATCTCACTACATTATAGTGTGAACTCTTTCACTTAACAGATCAAAAGAAAAACTGGAGACTCAAATTTTAATCTCTTCTTTTCCAAAGGCAAACATTTCAATTATCTATGTTCTCATGAAACATAATATTTGCTATTCCTCCCTTTACAAAATGGAAGATAGCCTTAAATGAGAATATGTATTGAAATGTGTAACATTTCAATATTTTAGGATTACAAATAAAAAAGGCGTGGACAATTTTAGCCTTCTATATCTATACACTTTCCTTTAGTACTCTCATATGACAACAGCTACAGGCAAGACTACTACATTTCAAAATTAATCATACCTTCAGGAGGTAAACTATACAGCTGATACACTGGTCCATTAACAGGGATAATGGGTAGTTGAAAATGGAAAACACTTTTAATGGTTGGTAGCGGAAGACGATTTTTAGGATAGCATTTTCTCATTATCAAACTGGAAGTGTTGACAAGTGGATCAAGAGTTCTTACTGCAAGGCACTCCTGTTACAACAAATAAATCATGATCAAATACAGTACTGCACCTTAAATATTTTACTATTTATGAACTATGCCTTTACTGTGGTAGTTAGTAGGTCTGAACTTTTAAGGACTTATATAATCTGATAAAGGTCCATTTGACACATTTATTTATAGTAGCAGACAAGCTGAAATATTGTCCCAATATAGGCATCTTCTTCTAGAAGGCTGCTTGAATATATCAACAAAAATTGCTGCCATATTTTAGAGTGGAAAAATTCATGCACAGTTTCTGCAGTGGAAAACCTAGCTCTCTCTCTCTCTCTCTCTCTCTCTCTCTCTCTCTCTCTCTCTCTCTCTCTCTGTGTGTGTGTGTGTGTGTGTGTGTGTGTGTGTGTGGTGTGTGTGTGTGTGTGTGTGCGTGTGTAGTCGTCACAGTTTGAATATTGGGAAGTTAATACTCAATTGCACTGAAAGCCTCTGCACATAAAATAGAGTTGCTGTTCATGCACAGAGAGTGATGATGGAGGGGGAAAGGGGTTAGCACACTCTCCTTCTTCAGTCATTCAGATTAAGTCTATTTTGAGCTCCTGAATAGATTAATTTTGTTCTGGGAGCCCACCAGATTGGTGCATATCTGAAGAAACATGAATACTGTAGCAATACATGATTAACAATTAAAAAAAACATTCTGTGAAGGTGCAGAGAAAAAGAGTGAGCCGTCCGCGAAAGACAAAATGGAGGCAAAAGGAAAAGAAGGGAAACATCAGGATGTGGTTGAGAGTGGTGATGGAAAAGAAGAGTTTTTGACAGTTGAGGAAAAGGCAGGAAAGTTGGAGATATGTCTAGCTGAAGAAGAGTGGGAGGAGCAAGAGGTGTCGGTGTGGGAGGAGTGTAAAAGTGAAGAGGGGGTGGTGTGGTTTAGCACAGTGGTGGAGGAATATGAGAGGAAGAGGAAGGAGGAAAGACATAAGGCGTTTGAGAGGGTCCAACAACAAGGGCTTTTGAGGGATTTCCCAAATTTGAAAGTTGGCGGACTACTCCCTAATCACACAGCTGAGGAAGAGAAGCCAAAACGTATGGTAGCCCATGAATGGACTGTCATCGTGGCTCCGCAAGAGGCTGAGTTGCGTCGGGAGCAAGAGAATTTGACAGCACCCTTTCCTGAAAGACCGGACGAGAGGGGGAGGGGGAGGCACTCATGTTGTGGGATGATCTGTGCGATGAGGAGTGTCCCAGCCCCCGTGATCGGAGCCCAAGGAGTGACAAGGGGTGCTACACCACTAAGCCCATGGGACTACACCAAAAAATTTATTAATGTTAATAATGTCCTGTTGCCACAGTTGGAACCGACGTTGCCTTTAAGCGAAGTGCTGGTGGATGTTGGAGATAATAAAGTTTAAAGTTCTAAAGTTATCAAGACTAAGCCATTATTATTTCCTGCCGAAAATGAGGGACCGCCTAAGGGAGGTAGCAAACTTCTTCACACATTCATAAACGCTATTGATGAGAATAGGCTCCCAATATAAATTACAATACGGCCACTGGTCCTCCTAGCTGGAGAGCAGAACTACTCCTGACTGCAGTTCTCGAGAGATTTAATTCCTCACTATAAACATTAGATTGAGGTCAAACAATCTCATGTTGTGGCTTATCTACTGGTATCTGTGAAGATTCTCATTCATCCAGGTGAGGCTATCTGGAATTTGAGTCGTGGCAACTGGATTTCTTTCTTGTTAGGTTGAAATGTTTTGTTACTCATCCAAGCTGAGCTGAATGAGACTGAAGAAGCTGCTTGGATGAGTAGCGAAACATTTCAGCCTAATAAGAAAGAAGTCCAGTCCCCATGACTCAACTTCCAGCTTACCCACTGATCTTGCCACCATATTAGTAGATAAGATTTGTGGCTGGGGTAAAACAATGACTAAACAGGACCTCTGAAGACCTAAAAATAAACTGGGTTACCATTCTGGGTATTTATTGCTTTTAGTTCCAATATGTCCTGGAATCTAAGAAAGTAAACAAAATGTAATCCTAGAAATGAACAGTCAGTGTTTGAAAGCATATGACTAAACATCAAATTTCTAAGCACCCAAATTTAATGTAATTCAAATCAAATATAATTTCAAGAAGTTCTGCATTACTCCAGCTGGGCACTCTCTTGTTACATACTGTTGGCTATAGATGAACACTACTGTTGGCTATAGATGAACACTAACTGCTTCCACATAGCTAGAGAGAGTACATTCAGTAGTATCTCGCAAGACAACGACCTCGCATAATGACAAATCCGCATAATGACAAGGTTTTGTGACTGCCATTGCACTTTGCAAAACAGTGATTCCTATGGGGGAATTTCGCTGGACGTTTTGGTCTGTGCTTCCCCAGACATTTTTTTTTCGGGACCGATGCTTAGCAAGGGGTCGATTTAACAGCTGATCGGCTGCTCTGCAAATGGCTTCCCTAGGGTGTTTGGGACCGATACTTAGCAAGAGGGCGATTCAACAGCTGATCGGCGGCTCTGCAAAATGGCTTCTCTAGGGTGTTTTCTTTCGCAAGACAGCAATTTAAAATGGCTTCCATATGGGCGAACTTCACTGGGCGATGACTATTTAAGAAGGGGTCGATTTAACAGCTGATCGGCAGCTCTGCAAATGGCTTCCCTAGGGTGTTTGGGACCGATACTTAGCAAGAGGGCGATTCAACAGCTGATCGGCGGCTCTGCAAAATGGCTTCTCTAGGGTGTTTTCTTTCGCAAGACAGCAATTTAAAATGGCTTCCATATGGGCGAACTTCACTGGGCGATGACTATTTCCCCCATTGGAACGGATTAAACGGGTTTCAATGCATTCCAATGGGGAAACACTTTTCGCAAGACAATAATTTCGCTAAACAGCGATTTCAATGGAACACATTATCATCATCTTGCGGGGCACCACTGTATAATTAAGAATATACACACATTCATGTAAAAAGTGCTCCCAAAATTCAGAAAATGGGCACAGAAGCCAGGCAAGTAAATGGCAAATCCAAAGATGCTTCCTGATACTGATTTTAGCATTTTAGCTTCCTGTTGTGTATGTGAAATACTGTTCAGTCCCAGGAAAAAGAGACAGTGCACTACAGAAACCGTTGAAAGGTCCTCTCTTTCAGTTTTGACCCTAATTCTGATCCTAGCCTTAGCCACACTTTAAGCAAAGGTGCATAACATTTTACCCGTTTACCACAGCCCATTAATAGACGTGGTTAAAAGAAACTTGTACTTGTTCTTTTAATAAACCTTGTAACAGATAATGTAAACTAGCAAGGGGGATATCCTGCATCACCCCCAGCTCCACACTGACACCCACTTATTTTATTTATTTAAAATATATTTACCCCAACTTTTTTCTTTAGAAGGACGCAAGGTGGCTTACATCATTAAAAGAAAATCTTTAAAGCTAAAAACTGTAAGTACACAAATATATAAAAAAAGAGTCAAACATCGACTGCACCAGTGGTTCTTAACCTTTGTTACTCAGATGTTTTTGAACTGCAACTCCCAGAAACCCCAGCCAGCACAGTTGGTGGTGAAGGCTTCTGGGAGTTGCAGTCCAAAACTCCTGTGTAACCCAAGGTTAAGAACCAGTGTACTACCTAAAGATAGTAAACAAAAGCAACACCAAAAATGCATTAAAGCAGTTAGGCACAACCATGCATTAAAAAACCCCACTAAGGTAGCCAGCCGTTAAGGGAAAGCTTGTCTAAGAGAAAGATCTTCAGCTGCTTGTGGAAGGACAGCAAGAATGGGGCCAACCTGGACTCCTGTGTGAGGAAGTTCCAAGTCTAGGAGCAGCAACAAAGAAGGCCCTCAAAGTTTTGGCTACCAAATGTATGTGTAATGGGGTCATTTGAGGCCATTCCTTCCTACTTATTGCAAGCACTGGTGGGGATGCTGTTCAAAGCCAGACATGACTATCATGGAGGATGTTGTTGGTCATTTGGAGAAGAAAAAAAGGGGGGATGTAATACATCTCTGAAGTTCAGAGGGGGCACAGTCTAGGGCAGGAATCTCCAAACGTCTGACTGTGAGCGCCAAACTGGATATTTTCAACATCTTTGAGGGCCGAAGGAAAAGGAACATGTGCGCCCACATGCCCCCTGCCTGCCTGTCTGCCCCCCACCTGCCCATCCCCCACCCACCCGTGTGCACAGGCTCAATGGTACGGGCTGGATAAAATGGCAAGGTGGGCCGGATGTGTCCTCATAGTTTGCAGACCCCTGGTCTAGGGGGAAAATTATTTATAGTTCACTCTGAATATTTCTGAAAATCATGTACATTATGTAAGATATATGTAATTTCAAAGGTCAAGGTCATACTGTCAACAACTGTCCATAAGGGCTATCAAGCTTTTGTTTCCTTCAGCTGGCCATCGCAAACATAGCATGCACCTATCTGCACAAATGATAATTTAACCAGGTAGAACCAGCTGTACAATGGGCGGTCCAGATCTCTCTTAGGTGATTACATAAATCAGTGGGACTAAGAATTTAACTGTAAGATCTGGTGCTTAACCTTGCTTATTCCCTCCTTCCTTTTATGTTGTGTAACCTTGTGGGGGGGGGCTTTCTAGTTTTTATCATTTGTAAGCTCTTCTGAGCACCTTTTTGGCTGAGTAGTACAGCAAAAATGCTGTGAGTAAATAGAGGATTAGTGAATGTAATTAATGTATTTCTCTGCAAAACAAAATGAAGAGTAGTAATTGCACATTTTTAAAGATTTTAGCCATTAAGTATGTTTCTACTGACATCTTAATAGTACAATATACTTATCTATACTCATAAAAACTTACTTGTGATGTGTTATATAGAATTTTCATCCCATTGACATCAAGGAATGCTTTCCGTCCCAACTTGATGTTTGTAATACTTTTAATACACTGCAATATTCCCTTGCGGATCAACATGTGTCTATGCCGGCTATCATGACGGTGCCAATCAACATAAATTGTTAAGAGCATTTGGATATAGCCTCTGTCTACAGCTCTCCTTGCATTTGTTTCTTGGGGGAGGGAAGACATAAGAGTCATCAACAAACTCTGGAACAACTAAAAAGTGTCAAGCAGGAAAAATTCTAATAACCAATTTTGCTTCTGCTAGGATGAAAACAATTCCACACTTATCCTGGCTCTCTGATAAACCACCACTGTCTTGTTTTCTTACTACATTTGAAGGAAAAACATTTAAAAACCAGCACAAGGATTGGCTGTTAAAGATGCCAGAAACTGACAAGCCAAGACAAAGTATCTGCATAAATAATCTGACACAAGAATTGACCATGGAGGTTCATATACAAATCTGTACTCAGAATTCAATTACCCGAGTGGCTCTGGGAGAGGTTAAATACCCTTTCTTCCTAGCCTACATCATAGGGGTTATTGCATGTGTTAACTAGGAAGGTGCAACAACAATATACATTTAGCTACTTTGGAAAAAGTTTGATAGAAATTGTTATCTGAAATAAAAATAACAACAACAACCTAAAGAATGAACATGGTTCAAAATTCTGCTGCAGAGTTATGATAGTGGCCAGTATAACTCTGCAACGGGATCTTGCCCATGGTGAATACTGAGGAGCAACAGTTATTATTCCAGACTGTGGATAAAAGATCAATGCTGTTTCTGCATTTTAGTTCTATTTCCCTGTTAAAACCACCCACCATTCTCACCATTATAAAAGGCAATACATAAAAGGATTTATTCATTTTCAAACTGAAAATGAACATTGTATAATATAATTCACAATGTTAATTTTCAGTTTTCACTCTGCAATTGTCAAGCAGCATAATTTATCAAATTCTGGAGGTTCTAAAATAATTTTAATAAAATATGGCACTATATACTTACTTGATTTTAGCAATGCAGCAAGAGTATCTAAAGCGACCCTGTGAATACAAAAAAATTGATTGAAAAAGACAAGGAATTTAGGTGACATTCCTGCTAGTAGTTAAGCATAACACTGCAATCCTAAATTATAACAATATGATAATCCTTTGAAAAGTTAGTAATAATATTCATTCAAAGCATTTTTGTTCTGTAGCCCACAGAATCTGTTCCCTGTACAGCAGAATGTATATGCAAAATCCAGATACAGTACTGGTGTATTTTGAAAGGCTATTTCCTATGGCTACAAACATCCTTGTTGCAAAGTCTTTTAGGGAAGTTATTCACATTTTATAAAAATAGTGAACCTTCAGCTCAAGTACTCAATTTCTATGTTACTTGTGTATCCAAGAAAGAAGTAATCCTTTAAAAACTATTATCATATGCATTTCTCTTCTTAATTATTTATTTTTTATATTTTATTTGGTACAAAGAAAATAACATAGCTGCTTTAGTTGTGACTTGCAAAACTAATAGAATAACTGCATGCTCTTGAAAGTCTAATCCAGTGACGGCAAACCTTCTGGGCCCAAGTGCCCAAACTGGAGGGACCCCAGCAGGCAGCAGGCACAAAAGTGGCGGCTGAAGGGGGAATCCTGAGGATAGAGGTGCCTTGAGACCCCACTCCGGATCTGCCACCAGCACCAGCTGCTCCAGATCCTGGCCTGCCACCTGTCAGGGTGCCAGCACTGCAGCTGCAGCCGCCTTCTCAGGTTTGGCTGCCGGGGGGGAGTAGCGATCTGGCAACTTATGGCTCACATGCCCACAGAGAGGGTTTTGCATGCTAGCCGTAGCACGCCGTGGCATTGCTGGCCTAATCTAAGGAAGTGGATTCTAACATCATCATCATCATCATTGAACTGCAGAGCTGGAAAGGACCCTATGGATCATCAAGGCCAGCCCATGTCAAGGAGGCACAGTGGGGAATCAAACTCCCAATCTGCAGCCAGATACCTAAACCATGTTGAAATTAATACATCAGTGTTTAAGATGCCATGACTCTTTGGTTTTTATTTCTGTAATATTTCATGAAAACCATAAGAAACTGAATACATCTTTCTCAGTATCAGGTCATTTAATAAAATGATGTTAATTTATCCTTAGAAATTATAAGCATTCCTTACTTTAAATGCCATATAGACTATGTTTAAAACAAATAATGGCCACAATACTGAAAATATGCATACTTTAAAATATATTCAATATTCTACTCACTTCATAAGGCCTGTATTCTTCTTGCTAAACGGACCAATTATCTTAAATATCAATTCCACAACTCCATTCTTACCCAAAGAGACAGCATTTACAGCTGAAAATAAAAGACCATATATTTACACTGAAGTGCCGATAACAATGTGAATATCTGCATTTAAAATATCATAAATCAAACCAACACACCATCTTATCCATTTGTATTTCATTGAAGCATGATAAAAATACCAAAATCAAAACACTGATCTTGGTCAATCACTGTACGGAAACTGCATAGTGAAGTCTCAGGGGACTAAATGTGTATTCAACAGCAATGGGAAACCTCTGGCACATGGGCCAGATCTGGCCTGAATTGGACAAAAAAGGCTGTTTAAATATTATGTTGCTATTTTATTGCAGGCCTATTAATGAAACAATCTATTTGATTGCATTTGTTCACTAGTTACTCTTACCCTTACAACATAACTGTACAGTTAAAATATTAACAGAAACCTTATGACAGACACACACTTGTATACGAAAGGAACTGTTCGTTATACAGGCACTAATCAAGAGCATTTAACTTTTAAGGGTATTGGTGAGGTAATGCTAATATTTTTGTAATCTCTGTTAAGAACGTGGAAATAGGCTACAAGATCTCTTACATCAGAAACCTTATGACAGACACACAGAAAGCTTAAGTGCAAGCTACTTGTATACAAAAGGAACTGTTTGTTATACAGGCACTAATCAAGAGCATTTAACTTTTAAGGGTATTGGTGAGGTAATGCTAATATTTTTGTAATCTCTGTTAAGAACGTGGAAACAAGCTACAAAATTTGCATTCCCTCTCCTGATATCAACTCCCCTCCTCTTTTCCTAATATTAAACACTGCTTCAGCATTAGGTCAATGATGGCTAATACTAACTTGAGATTGTTAACCATGAGAATCAGGATTAGTATTAAGCTGTGAATAATGCAACATATAATTGTGAATAAAGCTCACAACATGCTTCTTCCACCAACAAATGTAGAAAGATCACCATACTATTGTCTGGCCATCCAATGATACAATACCTAACTCAAGGGTGTCACACCATACAGGATGCATATGAAATGAACTTCTAAAAGTATATGAGTCAGGTACTGGAACAAGAGACAGGGATAGAGCCTATGCACCTATAACTACAGGCAAGTTGTGTGCTGTACTTGTTATGTTCCTGAACACATAGACAGTGTGCATATTTTTAATGTATCCAAATATATTAGTTTTCACTGCTAATATTAATACAGCAAGACTGTACTTTTATCCTGTATATTAAACACGTCCATAAGTAGAAACATGTTAAGGGAAAAATATCATGGTACTTACAGTTAGTTGAATATACTCGTAGCACCTGGAGACAAGGTAGTATTAGTCTTTGATTCTGCAAGTTCTGTTTCACTATATTTAGAGTAATATTTAAAGCACCACTAATTCTGGCTTTTACTCCAATTTTTTTATCTGGAAATTCAAAGGAGACAGAAACATTAGTACATATGCCAACTGAAATTTAGATCTAAAGAATTCATTGAAAATAGACATGGAATTTTTGTATTATTCATACTTCAGACCCCAGAATTTGCCAAGAAATCCCCTAACTAGAATTCTGGGAACTGCTGCCAACAAAATCAAAGTTATCAGAGGAAGTTTTCAGTTTCTCAAACATGAGGAATGAAGCCTCTGTCAGGAGCCATTAAGTTCCTATGAAGAAACAGGAAATAGGAGCCCGCAGCTAAGCTCCATGGGAGCTGCAAGAGATTAGGTGACTGATGGTGTCCCTGCCCATTGGGCTCCCTACAGGGTGCCTCAAAAATATTTTTTTTCACCATTGCTCCATGTGGTAGCTAAAAAAGAAAGAAAGAGAGAGAGAGAGAAAGAGAGAGTTTTGTGTATTCAAAGTGTATTCAGAGTGTATCTTGCAACATGACAGGTATCACTTGAGACAGAGCTATCATCATTATGAAGTCCTGAGCTACTCCTGATGAAGTGATCTTATCAAGGATGGAAAAGTCCCCCAGAACTAAAGCTACAGGGACTCCAGCGTCTTGGGTAATTCAGGAAAGGAGACTGTTATGTTACAGTATGAATGGTATGCCAAACCCTATTCTATCCCAGGAAGTCACCTTCAGTTATACAAACTCAAATCCAAAATGCAATGGTACGCGTCACCAGGTTGACAGGGATGGAATTATAACAGATCGCTGCAACTCTGCCTTCACAGTCCCAGATATTTCCTGTTGTGGAACTGAAAATCCAGGAAGACAGACCTAAGAGAGTTTAAGCCACTCCCCCCAATTCCAGCTAGCCAGATCCTTATACTTTGGGCCAAGTTAGCACTTTCATCCAGGATAGATGTCGCTTTCCCATTCACTGATTTGGCATTCAGCAGCACTATTTTCAATTCTGGGTGCTTGTCATGAAGATTATGCAGGCTATTTGAAGTGGGGACAGTTTGAGAGGAAACAACAGCCAACCGCCTTCCACAGTCCATAGCTGCTGTGCTCCCCTTGTGATACAGTATAGGAAAAGTTCCCTCCTAACCAGTGCACTGAATGAGTTTAGCCATATAGTCTGGTACTGAAAATCTTCTGTGTGGAGCTCAGCAGTCCCATGATAACTTTTTAGTAACAAAATCTCAACTCCAGGAAGAGACATGCACAATGTAAAACCAGTACTGTACTTCTGCCTTCAATTTGTAGACCAATGCAGTGTTAACAAAGTCATTCAAACAGCAATCTGCATCAAATGGGTTCGAGATTCACTTTATTTTGCCCAGCATGTTTATCAAATGAATCTAACAATCTTCACCATAGTCAAGCAGTTGAATGCAAGTTACCTATTACTTGCTTTCCCATTAGATCTTGTTATCCTTTCCCCTACCTACACCACAGAATCCAGTTCCAGATCTGAAGACAGATGAATTGAAGAGAAAGTGAGATGGGGGAATCCCTATTTATTGGACAAGATGCACCGCTGCACTAAACTATCACAGCTTTTCAGAATCAGCAGTACAACATCAGGGTAAGTTCTCAGGAAAATGGCATGACAGAAAAGAAACAAGTACAGGTGTTAATAAATCTACAAACAGTGTACTGTTGTAGTTCTTGTACTGTCATGACATTCACCCAAAGAAGGCAAATGAGCCTTATAGAACAAAAAAGCTAGCACTGGACAGCCTGCTTCTGCTGCTGCTGAAAGCATAATTTGTATACTTCACTGTCATCAGGAGTGTGAAAGATCCTTGCCTCAAGACTACTGAAAAGCAGTGATAGATCCTCCCCACGTTCAATGCAAAACAAACTACAAGTCATAAGTGAAGAAATTGCCAGATGCAACTGCCATTTAAACAGTTCCATTCTCCAACCAAGTTGCAGCCTTTTGTATTAACTCAGTTTTCAGGAAGTCTTCACATACAATTTTCATACATGGAGCACTTCATTTAGAAGTTTTAAATAACCATAATTGAGTCCCTGAATGCTGGGCTTTACTGAATAAGTCTATTTTGCAAGTTTAAATGTTTTTAGCTATTCAATGTATTTTTATTACTATCATAGTTTAATTTTTTTTAACGGTATAATTTACTGTGTTTTTAATTTTACTGTACTTGTTTTAACACTGTGAGTCGCCTTGAATCTCCTCATCAAGAGAAAAGCTACATATGAGAGAAATAAAATCAAATAAACTATCAGTGCATGGATAGCATCATCCAGGCTATTTCTGAGCTTGTTATAATTAAATGTGGAACAAGACAGAACCCAGGGCTCTTTTGCAATTGCGGAGGTAATTATAGGGCTATTCATTTATTTAAGTAGGAACGCTTGTGCATAAGATAAAAAATTTCATTTGCTTACATAACACTAGGTTATCAAAATTAATGGCATCATTCTCTACAATTCCAACAAAATCCTAATCCCTTCTACCACATCCCAAACCCTGCTGCCTTTGCACCTTTTGGCACCCACCTATTCATCAGTATAAAATCAGCACTCTTATTCTACGCATAATGTAGAACATAATTCAAGTAGTTGATGGTGTGTGCTTTTCATCCAGCAGTACTCACCATAAGGTAGCAGCTATAATGGGAATCTATTTAGGCTCTGCTCACCTTTTGGACCTACTTTTGCAAGAAGAGAATGAAGTAGCACCATTAAGTCTTCATTTGGTGGGGATTCTTTACTGACATTCACAAGCAACTGCAATAAAATCTGTGTACCTCCTCTAGCAACAAGAACACTTGTTCTGCGGTTGCTCCCTGGAAATAAAGTATTAGTGATCAGCACAAATCCCAAGACAGACATTTTTATCATACGGTGATTATAAATTACATTTTCTTGATGTCAGAAAATATAGATTGCATTTTAAATTATGTGGGGTCATCAAAATAAATATTTATGAGAGGAGAGGAACTATAGACTCTGAGGGATAATAAAAATTACAGTTTAATATGAAAACTTACCTACTGCCACCAGCTCAATTAAGATATTTAATATATTCAGTGTAGTTTGGAGATCTCTAGTATTCTGAAATGATTTAATATTAAATATTTAATTATATTTACACTGCATCTTCCATAACATATATAAATGCATGCACCTAAAGCTGTAAAAATTACAGTTTGCAATTAAAAATTGTTCATAATGGTTAACACTTACACTGCAACAATCCTCTTTTGGAATCAAGATATATAAAAGTAAACACAGCTATATTTTATATATAAAAAGTACATATCTGTTTGTCTCCGATATCAATTTGATTTTAAAAGAATAAACTTTGGCTATATCATGCCTTAGGTTTTTATCGACAGCAGTACTAATCAAATAAACACAACTGTCGTTTATTTAAAATATATTTAAAACATCTTCAGATTGTATATTAAGTTCTGATTCCTTTTTAAAAAATCAATGAATATAAACTAACTACTATTGGAATCAAGTTTTCAAACTGCAAGAAATTTAAATCACAATGGCCCCTCCAATTCACTATAAATTCAGACTATATTTAAAAAGCAACATATACTACCTCTAAAGTTGTGAGAATAACTTCTATTCCTGTTGAACCTTTGGCAGTCATTTCCTTCCTGATTTTTTCTGAAAGTTAAAGATGTACATTTTTAAAATATAAAAATATGAGGAAACTAATTGCAAACATGGATGAGTTAAATGTGTGGAAAATACTATCACATTACTAAGAACACAAAAACAACACCAATTAACTAATGGCAATACTAACAGATTTAAATTTCAGAAATGTAGAGATTAAACACCTTCAGCACTCTATAATGTTTTGTTGTTTGTCCCACTTGCTTCCTTTACCAGCAAGAGCTGCTTTTTCTGACTTTCCCACAGTCCTGCTCTTGGTTAAAACTCCTATAAGAATAGTTTACCTTCCTCTCACTGCTCATAGCTTCCAAATGTTCTGTGGTCTCTCTTCTCTAATCCATAAAATCAGGAGCTCAAAGATAAGATAGAAAAGTATCAAGTACATTAAGACCTAAGTGTCTTTAAACTCAATAGCTTAAATCTCCATAACTGAATGAAAAGGCTATCTATACTGTACTAACTGTAGACTACTAGTAACTGAACTGTGCTTCTTTTATGTTTGCTCAAGATAATACACCTTCTAAGAAAAGGGGAAAGTGGTCAGTCCCGTCTATACAGTACACTTGACTCAGCTTATACAGTGGACCCTTGACTTACAGACGGCTTGACTTACAGATTTTTTGAGTTACAGACTTCTCTGGCCGCAAAATTTAGGTTTGACTTGCAGCCTGAGAATTGACTTACAGACCAGAAAAAAAACCAAAATGGAACAAAAACGGCCTGTTAAGGGATTAATCGGTTTTCAATGTACTGTAGGTCAATGGAGACTTGACCTACAGACTTTTTGACTTGAGAACCGCCTTCCAATACGGATTAAGTTCTCAAGTCAAGACCCCACTGTAGTCTGAACACAGCTTTTTGCTAGTGTACTCCTGAAATTGGCAGGACATACAGAATATATCCAAGAACTGAAAAAGAAATCAAAAAGCAACCTGAGTTAATGGTTGATTTCAATATACAGTGGTGCCTCACTTAGCGATGTTAATCCGTTCCGGAAAAAACATCGCTAAGTGATTTAATTGCTAAGTGATATTAAAAAGCCCATAGGAACATATTAAAACGCGTTTAATACGTTCCTATGGGCTAAAAACGTACCTTAAAGCGAAATTCCTCCATCGCGGTGGCCATTTTGGGTGCCTCTAAAGCGAGGCAAATCAGCAGCGGCCATTTTGTTTTTGCGGCAGCCATTTTGGAACCGCTGATCAGCTGTTTTAAAAAGTTCACTTTGCCATGATAGCTTCCCTGCGATCATCGCAAAGCGAATTTTAGCCACAGGGGACATTGCTAAGGGATCGCTCCAGCGATGGCCAAAAGTCCATCTCAAAGTGATTTCATCGCTCAATGGAGCGATCGCTAAGCGAGGCACCACTGTATATTTATTTACCTTGACTTTGAGCCAGGTGAAGAATTTTTGATGTAACATATCTGGCAGCATCTGCATCCGCCAAGCATTCTGCATTGATCTTCTCAAGCTGCGCCAAGAGGCCCACGATACGAGAACTGTTGGTTAAACTACACAAAATCATTAAATGAACATATTTAGATATTACAGGCATTTTTCAGAGTACAGAGTGAAAAACTTAGAGCAAGTTAATTACTAACTACAAGATGCCTGTATAGAAGAAGCATACTCAGACTAGGCATTCACCTGCTGTTCCTATGCTTTCTTTTCTTGTAAGTAGTGGGAAAAATGAAACAGAAAAAATATATAGAGAAATACATATTTATCATTAAGCTGGACATTTAAGGTGGATCTAGATATTAAATGAGTGCTCCAAATGAGTTCCAAATAAATTCTGCCTATACTGGGACAACAGAAACAAAGAGGAAGAAATTATAGGGAGGCTCAACAAATATAAGAAAAGTGTTTTCTTTTAACTCCTTTGATACTTGCAAACCCCTATCCAGGGAGGTGGTGGTGGATGACGTCAAATTGAACTCACAATGATATACTGTACATTAGAGATAGGGATATTCATATACAAATATCCCCGCACAGGTGGTGTTAATGAGGGTCCAGCCCCATGGGGCCGGATGGTCAACTCACTAATCTGCTGTGGACGCGGACAGCGCGATTCTACCAATGACTCCGCAGCACGCAATCTGCTCACCACTCCTGGCAGGAGGCGGGAGGACATGCCTCACTGCAAGGTTGAAAAGTGGTGAGCTGCAGATTGTCGCTGTGGAGCCACTGGTAGAACTGGGCCGTCTGCAGTAGATCCCCCATAGATAACGGTATCCATGGGGGATCACTTCCAAGGCCCTGCCTTGGATGCAAAAAAATTAAAAAAGGTGGAAATATCCAACACTATACAAGGTCTCCGGCTCCTTCTAATGGGCAATTATAGTAAATACATCTTGGGGGAAGTCATTTAGTATTTTCAGGAAGCGGATAAGTGAATGAGTAAACAGTGATCCTGCGGAGGGGGGGGGGTCCTACTGTATATCGTTTTGGTGCCAGTAGTTGTAATTAACCTATGAGGATTCAGATTAGTGACAGATTTATTCACAGTCCAAGTTAACTGTAAAGTAAAGGTAAAGGTTCCTCTTGACATTTAGTCAAGTCGTGTCCGCCTCTAGGGAGCGGTGCCCATCCCCGTTTCCAAGCCATAGAGCCAGTGTTTGTCCAAAGAGTTTCTGTGGTCACGTGGCCAGCACGACCAGACACGGAACGCCGTTACCTTCCCACCATGGTGGTATCTATTTATCTACTCACATTTGCATACTTTCCAGCTGCTAGGTTGGCAGGAGCTGGGACAAACGACGGGAACTCAATCCGTCGCATGGATTCGATCTTACGACTGCAGGTCTTCTGACCTTGCAGCACACAGGCTTCTGCGGTTTAACCCGCAGTGCCACCATGTCCCTTTAAAGTTAACTGTAATATTACTCAATTAGGACAAAGTGCATTATGAAACAAATCACCTTTGTTGTTATCAGGTACCCAAGTACCTCTAGACATCTATAATGAACTGAAAAATTCACATCTATTTAGAATTAAATATAGTCTTTCAGTGTAGTTTAAGACACAAACCAAAAAAAGGATATCACCTTTCTGAGGACACTGTATGCCAACACCTCCTTTTTTTGCCCCAGCTCCACCCCAAGTAGTTAGCATTTTCTGCATATTAAATATGCTTAGTCCTCAGTTAGCCATTTCTGGGAGTCATGCTCTTCCATATACTTTTAGGATTTTTTTTTCTCAAACATTTTTCTGAGGTGGTATTTCTGTAAACAGTCATCTCTGAATATCAGAAATAAAGGAAATAATAGATTTAAATAGTTTTCTTTACATAATCATTCTAAAAACACAAGAAACTACTGTTGCCTTTTAAGAACATAGACTATAATCCATTCTGCTTGTCGACGTGTAATACAGCTACCTAGCAAGTAATTTACTGTATACAGATGAAGAAATATTGGTTATAAAACAAAAGTATATATGGCATTAGTTTAATAAACACTGTCAGTGTATGTATAACAAGGCTATTATGGATTGCCATTTCTTGGTCTGCAGTTATAAAACATTTCCACTGCTAGTAGTATTGTTCAGTATTTAGAGTCAAGTAGCTACACTATTGTATTCACCAACATAGCCTAGGATGGGTGAAATGTGTCATTTTTTAATTGAAATCTGATTTTGTTTAAATCAACCATTTTAAATCTACCATTCACTTCATGGAAAACATATAAAATCAAAACGTTTTCTACATGCACATGCTTAATAAACAGGTGGAGAGGAAGAGAGATAAGTGGTGGAGACGGAAAGAGGGAGAAAGAGATGTCTCTACCCAGCACTGCATGTTCTGCAAGTGATATTTCCTCTTGGTCCTTGATTCTTCATGAAAAAAACTCAACCCCTACTTCAGAATAAGTGTCAAATGCAGAGTGTACAGAACTAACTGTAGTCTGACTCGATAGTATATATATATCTGGTCATGAATCATATCTGTGTGTTCTCATCCATCTGATTTACTGGAGACCCACTGCCTCTGCTTATAAGAATGCTTGTAAGAATAAGGAACAGAATCGTTGTCGTTTAGTCATGTCCGA